GACAATTAGTGTTGACACTTTAGTGTATATTCTTTTGGGCATTATGTATCTATAGCTGTAATATATCTAATTTACCTAGGCACACACACATATATCCATATTCTATTTATCTACATCTGCATCTGTATTGACACTTCATTCTTTGTAAGTGAATCGGCTTTCACGTTATACACTTTCTTTTTTAAAGCATTTCCATTTTAACATGAAGTAAGTTTAATATGCTCCCTCTCCTCTTCACCATCCCATGAACTCTGTCACCATGCTCCTTCTTGGCCATTTTCTTTGCCCTTAGGACAGAGTCCCCTCCTTTGAACCCCAGGCTCTTGATTCCTGCTACTCCTTCTGTATCCATATCTACCATCTCCAGTATACTTCTTTCTTGATGACTTTCACAACTTGCTCTCAGATTTCCATTTCCACCTATTAGCATCTCCATTCTCAAGTCTATCCATTAACATGTCATTTTATTATATTTAATGCATTGTAGGATGGTAGAAAGAGTGTGAATTTTTGAGTTAGAATGATTTAGGTTCCAACCAGCTGTGTGACTTCAGCAAGTCACTTAACCTCTCAAAATCCCAAATTCCTAATCTGTAAAATTTAGAGTAATGATGATAGCCAATTTATGGCACATTACATATATACCTGGTATATATAGTTGTCATTCAAATTTTTAACAACTGAGAATGACTGTGATAGAGGTTTGACTGTGATAGAGGTTAGAAGTAATGTGTCTAAAGTGATTATTAAAATACTTTATAAATTGTTAGAAATCAAAACAAAATGACAGCCATTATTTCTGACAGCTCAACCTCAGCATTCTGATATTGAGGTTCTGCTGCCTCAATAACCATGACTTTAATTTCCATTCTGCTTCTCTCATAAGCACAATTGCTTTTCCTCTAGGACATGGTTCTCCATCTTGCTTGCACATGGGAAGTCTGTGGAGGCTCTGGAAACACACTGTTCCTGGGGTTTTGTCTCCAGAGATGTTGATTAGTCTGAGACGTAGCCTGTGTATTGGGATTTTTTAAAGCTGTAAGATGTTAAGCTGTATAAATCCCCTTTGATGTGGGCTCGGCAAGGCGAGGAGTTGAAAGAAAGATGTCTTGGACACTTAAGGTCTGGTGGTAGTGCTCCTTTATTCAGAGAACAGCATGGGGACAGGACCCATGGGCAGAGAAGAGCTGCAATGTGTTGAGGGTTAGGGCTAAATTTATAAGGCGTGGGTAGGTGAGTTATTTTTTACTAGACAAAGGAAAGATAATGTAAAAAGTTATTAAAATGGTATCAGTGTAGGTGGAGTCTGGTTACTGTGTGGTCGTATAGCTTTAGATATGATTCAGGTCATATAGATTGGCACGTAGGGCAGGACACCTTGGGCTTCTCTCCCTGGGCCAGCCTTGATCCACATCACCCTTGATTCAGTTCTCTAGCTCTTCCACCCTTCCTACATTTGCATCCTCGCTAAAACCTGTCTGTGATTAATGTTCCTGTATTCTTTGAATCTGCTGCTTGCTTCAGAGACCATCTTATCCAGCCAGGATCCCAGAGTTAATTATGCATGCCAAACTTTTCACCATCAACTATAGTAAAATGACTAATGTTTGCTTACCATTTTCATCATTTATAAGGTACTTTTTTCAAAGTCACTGATTTATGGAGCCCTTCACAGATTTCTGTATCTTCTTGAAATTCCCATACTCAGCATTCAGTTCCTAACTAGATGCTAGCTCAACCCCTTTTCTCATCCTCTGCTATCAAGAACTGGGTTAAATTCACAGAGCTCTTCTGGAAGAACAACGGCACTGAATTGAGTGAACTTTTTGCCCACCATCTCACATTTCCATCACTTAGAACCTACTCATTTGTCCAGGGGGCAAAATGGGAGCCAGTGGGACAGATCCTGCTGACTTAGGGCAGCATAGTGGTTTATTTTGTTAGGTATTGTTGAAATTTGAGTGTGTTTAGATGGACTGAGCACTTTCTAGGTTACGGTAGGCCTCAGCTTTTCCTACTATATTCTACGAGGCCACACACATTTAGCTACCTGAGGACCTCGAGGTCACTTCAGCTGAGTGCTTCTGCATCACTCTTTTTCTCAGGTCTTGGCATAAATAAATACCCTTTCTCCTGTCCAAGGTTATTTAATCTAGTTGTGTCAGGGAATTGTGCCTGCCTTTTTATTGCTCAGCCTACTCCTCAGATTCAGTCTAATTGCCTCTGTTTGTAATCTGGGTTTGCAGCTGCCCTGAAACTGGCTGTGGAAGGGGATACGATCCTCCCAGCCCCCTAATTCCTTCCCAGGCTCCCACTGCAAGCTCGAGCCTCCTGCTGCAAACCTGTGCAGGTCTAAGGGGTGGTCAGAGATCAAGTCAAATATTTTTAATCATATAGTATTTTAAAAAATATTTATTTTATAAGATTTGGGTTTTGAGGTATAATTTACATACAGTGAAATCCACAGATCCTAAGTATATGTTGACCACTTGTGAAAACTACGTAAACTTGAATAACCACCATTCCTATTAAAATACATAATATTTTCATCACCTCAAAAAATTCCCTCATGCCCTCTGCCAGTCACCCCACCCCCAGAAGCAACCGCTGGTCTAATTTTCAGTTAGCTATTTTATTATTAGTTGTATTTTTATTAAGTTATTAGGGATTAGTAAATGGCAATTTCCTTCTTTCCTCGACATTTGACATACTGATAAATTACTCTGTATGCCCTGTTTCTAATTAAAATTTTTGGAAGTGAGAATATGGATTCACTTCAGAGTTTAAATAAATAATCTGTGAATAAGATGAATATATCTCAAGCTGAGAATGGATTTTTACCACAAAGGCTAGTTTAATATTAAAATTTAAAGTACACACTCTGGGGCCGGCCGGTGGTGCAGCGGTTAAGTGCATACGTTCCGCTTTGGCAGCCCAGGGTTTGCTGGTTCGGATCCTGGGTGCAGGCATGGCACCACTTGGCAAGCCATGCTGTGGTAGGCATCCCACATATAAAGTCGAGGAAGATGGGCATGGATGTTACCTCAGGTCCAGTCTTGCTCAGAAAAAAAGAGGATTGGCAGATGTTAGCTCAGGGCTGATCTTCCTTGGAAAAACAATAAAATAAAAAAATAAATAAAGTACACACTCTGCTTTCTGAAAAAGATCCATATGTCTCCAGTAATGCTGTTGCCTTCAACCTACAGTCACACCAAATGCAGTTTTCAGGGTCACAGACCAAGATGAGCTTTATTTATTAGATTTTCTGGGAGATATTTCTAGCCCAAGTATATGCTGGAAAGATGAATTGAGAAGAAAGTATGCGACACATTTAAACTTTAAACGTTGACTAAGACCAATGATAATGAGCAATTTGTTGCACATTCTCTGTGTCCTATGCTACATTAAAGATGTTAAGTCCCAGGCTTGTAATCACTTTCTTACTTAACACAGTAGGGTTTTTTCCTTCAGTTTTCCTTTTATAAGGAACTATTTCTCTGTGTCTCCTTCAATTTACTCCTCCATATCCCATTTCGCTCTTAAGTTCCAGGTCTCCCTGTTGGTGACAATGATTGTGGCCAACTAGTTTAAAAGAAGATCAGTATTTGGAAAATCTCACTTGTCTTGCCATCCATGGAGTTTGGTTGTATAGCTTCTTTGAGACATACCTACTCTTTGAAAACTACAGAGAATCAGTAGATGGTAGTACTTATAGTATGCCTGAAAAAACAATTAAGAACCTGAGGACTGTATCTGCCAGTCAGTGTGAGTGGAGAATAACTAGCAAGAGTTTCAGTCCTGGCTCTGCCATTTTGGACACAGTTACCACCTTTGTTTCCAAAGTTAGGGGATGATAATACCTGCCATATCTACTTGTAAGCGTTATGAAAGTGACAATGAAAATTAAATCCTATGTGAGAAAGCACTTTGTAAATTCCAAAGTGTGATAAAATGTAAGATAATGTAATTATGAACACTGTATTTTTTTCTAACCAATACCAGTGCTGATTTTTAATTGTAAAGAAAATAGACAACAAAACATCAGAATCATCTTCCCCTGACATTGTTTTGCATTGACTTCAAGAGGAGAAGGAAGGCAGGTTGGAGAAGACGACCTCACTCCTTTGCCCTATCAACTGCTTATGATTTTTTTCAAAAAACATTGTTTCTATGCTTGTACTGTAATTCATTATAACTCTTATTACACTGTAAGTTAACTTTAAATGACTATCTCCCCCTACTAGGTACGGAGATAACTGAGGTTAGAGTACCTTGCCCAAAATCAGTGAATAGCAGATAGATAGATGGATGGTTGGATGGGTGAATGATACCACAAATTTTTAAGAATGCATGTGTGAACTCTTAGTTATGTCCACAAAATCTAAAATACTGTGAGGTGAAGTCCACTTAACCAGAAAGAAAACAATCTCTGTTTACACAGAAAATCTAGATAATGTTTCAGTCATTTCTGTACTTTTTCCATTGAGTCTCTTCCAGTCCATGCTGAGTCCATGTATAAAGAGTGTCTTCTGTGGTCTCTCTTTCCTTCTCCTTCCACCATGATAACTTTGCTCTTTTCCTCTCTCGCCTACCCCATCCTTGTCTGCGTCCTGGAGGAGTAGCATCTGGTCTTTACTGTCATTCCTGGAGAAGGCTTATTTAGGTCTTTTTGATAATTTTAAATAAGCATGTACAACTCAAGAGGGGCAGTAAATATTTAGTTCACTAATATTGATTGACCTTCTCTTGTAGTGTCACTTTGATGGTCATGCTAACAAATCTCTCCTTATTTAGCCCAAGGAAAGAACTCACTCCCCTCCAGGAGTGCACACTGAAATGGAGAGGAGAGTGATGGAAAAATAAAATTCCAATTGTATGAATTTAATTAATTTTAATAATTTAATAATATGAAATGCATCGGTCCAAAGGAAAAAAAATGATGAAAGAATGTGATGTGGTTGAGTAAAGAATTGTAATGATAATAATATTACTATTTATAGCCACAGTCTTCCTGGAGTTTTGGAAAAGGAGAAGAAGTACACTGACCTACACGTGGGACCTGATCGAGTGGGAAGAAGAGGAGGTAAGATCTTAGGAAACCAGGAGATAAGGAAGCTGGGATAGCACATGATGCAGAAAATTATTCACTGCCCTTAATGTCCAAGCTGGAAGCTGCTAAACACCATTAGATTTTCCCTTGATGTTTTTTACTAATAAGATTTCTTACTTTATGAAGATCAGTGATCAGTGATGAAGTAAGTTTTTCAAAGCACTTCTATGATGTTTCTTTAAATTACATTAGTGGAAAATTGTACTAATTAAAATATAGTTTAGGGTTTATTTGGAAAATAATTTGCATCTTATTTTTAGAAAGTTGCTTCTTTGCCAAAATTTGATGTAAAAGTAGGCCAAATTGGAGGATTTTTTTTAAGTTTATGACTTTGATGTTTAGGTAACATTAGTTTTTCTCATAGGAAACAGTTCGTCCCCAGTTTGAAGCAAAGTATTACAAGATGGAGAGGGTGAATCCCATCAGTGGAAAACCTGAGCCACATCAGCCTTTCTCAGACAAAGTCACGCGTCTTCTTGTTTCTATGTCAGGAATATTCTTCATGGTAAAGTATAGCCCTCGATATCAGAATGTTGTGGGATTCCAGGTTTAGAAGGAAGTTCTTGGATACCAACTCATTTTGTGACCCTCAAGATGCAAGAAACCATAACCTGATCAATACCTTCATAACACATGCTATTAAATGAAATGATAGTCACAGCAGGGCCCGGAGTAATTACAAAGGAAGTTTCTGCAGATCCTTAAAAAAAAACACTTTTCGGGAGAAACAAAGATCATCTAAAATAAAATGGAAATTATGTGAGTTGCCCTGATGAATTAAATATCCTGTCTTAAAACCAAGCATTCCATTCATTGCATTTGAAAGTGGAAATTTGAGCAAAATTTGCATTTTAAGTTATCACCCCAAAACAATCTTACACTATTTATTTTGACTCTAACTTACTTAGTTCCTTAAAGGAGAAAAAAAATATATGTATTCTTTCTTGGAAAAGTAAATCCTTTAGCTCTGAGGGCAGTGTGTTGGATCTTTGGTTTTGCCTCTGTTTTGTCAATGATGCGAAATCCGTCTTCTCCTCTGGTCCCCACACGGTAGATCTCTCTGGTGATCACGGCAGTGTTCGCAGTCGTGGTTTATCGCCTAGTTGTCATGGAGCGGTTTGCATCGTTCAAGTGGAATTTTATCAAACAACACTGGCAGTTTGCAACATCTGCTGCTGCTGTCTGTATCAATTTTGTCATCATTATGCTACTGAATCTGGTAAGTGTTTATACTTGTCAATAGGTGAAAACTGGGGGTATAGGGGAGAAGTCTGTGTTTTCTTTATACTTGAATGGTATTTAGAGGAAGCCAATATAAGACCCAACCACATTCCTAGCAAAACAACTGAGTTTAGCAGAAAATATTTCATCCATGTGGTTTAGATGATGGATTTCTAAAATTAAAATTTCTATATGTAGGTGTTGATTTATAATCAGAAAAAAATAACTTTTACTTTTAAAATTTTCTACTGTGATATAAAATTTAGAACAAATTAGGAATGGAATGTACTTTATTTTAACTTTATATATGAGTCACCATAAAACCACAGCCACCTCACTAGCAACTTTGGGTCATTTTTTAAAATTTCTCTTTCACCAAGTAAAGAAAAGTTTAATCAGTGGCAGAGCAACATCCCAGCATGCATGCATATGCACGCACACACACACACACATACACACACACACATACACACACACAGAGTTCCTTCTGTTCTCCTTTGTCCCCTCTCCTCTGCCCCTGGGAAAACTGCCCAGGTTTGTATTGCCAGGTCCTCAGCTTGGGGTCCTGATGAAAAGTGGTGGACTTTGGACACGGGCAAGTTGTGCTGCTGGACCTGTGTGATCCTGGCCACTCCATTTAACTTCATTGAACTTTCATTTCTTTATCTTTTAAACGAGGGTAGTAAAAGAGACACATAGGGGTATTGAAAAATGAAATGAGATCTGCTTCTACTCCATAGACGATGTTTGACAGATGTTAGCTTTTTTCCTATTTGCTTCTCTTCAATATTTTAAAATTTTATTTCTTTCTATAACTCTATCTATACTCCTATTCTCGTTCTTGTAAAATATCAACATCTTCTTTATTTTTCCAATTTTTCTCATCTTTAAATAATAGAGTTTGATTATTTATTTCTCTTCAGTCCAAGATGTAGAAATGCTGATTATCTCTTCTCTGGTCTTTCTAAATTCTTCAGACCACATCTGCATTTATTTATATTTTTTTCACTCATTTTTCTTTAAATGTTATCTATTACCCGTTCATAAATTTTTAAATACTCAGAGTTGGCTGTGGAGGGAAAGAGAACCACATATAAGTTTCTGTATTATGTCTTTTTATCAAACATGTGCCTAAAATATAAGAAAATTTGAAATGTTTAATTAGTTCATGCAGAAATCATACCACTATGCTAATTTTCAGCAGTCTTATTTCTCTTTAGTGTTTTTTTATTTTTTTCCTTTTTAAAGTCTATTATTTTTATCTTTTTAGCTTTGAATTATAAAATCAATACATTGTTATTGTCAAAAGTATACTGGAGCCGGCCCTGTGCCATAGTGGTTAAGTTCCCACGCTCGACTTTGGTGGCCCAGGGTTCTGGGTTCGGATGCCGGGCACAGACCTACATACCAGTCATCAAACCATGCTGTGGTGGCATCCTAAATACAAAATAGAAGACTATTGGCACTGATGAGAGCTCAGGGCCAATCTTCCTCACACACACAAAGAAAGTATTAACAGTATGAAAACATTAAATATATTAAGTAAAAGTTATTTTTCTCAACACAAAGTGCCACTCATCTCCCTTCTTACCATAAACTAATTGTACCCATTGGAGGTAATCAGTGTTAATGGTTTCATGTCTATTTATTCTCCGCCATCAATTATTATTGCCTTAGAAAAGAGTACCCTCTGTTCCTGTGTTTGTTTGGCGATTTGTTCCAAAGACCTAGTGATCTTCAAAAATATCTTGAGTGAATTAATGAACTGGCCTAATATTTTTGAAGAGGGAAAATATTTCACAGACAAGTAAAATGAAGAAGCCAAGTGCAGTTAATTAATTTTTGCTTGGGAAGGCAAGCATGACAAGCTCTGGGAACAGAACTTCCAGGTCCAGGGTTCAGACCTCGGTTCCTACCCAGCGGAATAGCTATCTTTTCAGTAAAGCTGAAGACCTCGTCATGGTCAGAACCTGCATTTGAATAAAATAGTAGCTTTTGCCTTCAAATAGTTTCCTTACAAAAGAGTTCTTTCTGTTATCATTGATATGCAAAATTTGAAGTTTCCATTGGTGTACCAGACCAGCTTTATATTATTCCAGTTGCTTCTTAATCGCCCATCCCTTAAACTCCGACTCTCTGCTCACTCCAGTCCCTGTCCTCACTTGCCGTTCCCTGGAGTCACAGCTGGCCTCCGTACATGCAGGCCTCTCTCTCAAGGTTCAGACACAACTTGTTCTCACTAAGTTTATATCTTTGATGAGGCTTAATATATTCTTTCTTCCAAAATACTGCATTGCACAGATAAAGGATAAACTGGCTAGAGTGAATCTCTAATTGTAGAAATAAGACCTCTGTAGGTGGGTGAGGATAGCATTATTATCATCATAGAAACAATCTTTTGAGATCCTCAAACCCCACTAGTTCTACTTAAGTACAAGAACGCACGTTAACCGCCTAGTGCTATAAAACAAGCGTCCACAGTTCCTGGGAGAAGACAGGACTGACTTTTTTCTAAATGCTCATTTCTACTTGTCGGGCATTTTGGCATAGAGATTCAGGGGTTGTTGGAAGTGGAATATACCATAAAACTTCTCTTTTGCCCTTGCAACTAGCTCAGGAGAAGATTTTAAAATGAATTTAGCATAAAGGAAGTGAACTCTGCAGCCACTCAACAAATGTGAAAAGAATGCTGTATCCCTCAGATTCCATCAGAGTAAAACAGTAATGCCCTTGTGAATTTACGCATCTCCTTCCTACTCAGGAGATTAAGGCACTTAGATTATTAAACAGCCCTTCTGACCCACCTGACCACACAGGATTGATTTAAAGGCCTAATCAAATAAGGATAGATCAAAACCATTAATATCAAAATCATGCCTTCAGAAAGATTCACCTTGAAAACCAAATGCTACCTCTTATTTTTGGACCAACACTAAATATACAGGTAATAAAAATGTGCTTTTTGTTTCCTAGTAGCTTGACTTTAGGATCCCTGTGCTACCATTTCCCCCAGATGAGGAACTTGTCCTCAGTCAAAATATTCTGTTAATCTAATATGCTTGTCAGCTATCATTTGCATGAAATTATGAAATGTATGCATGGCAAAATAGTGGAAATCAGTCAAACAGTTTTTTTAACCTGGAATTTTTAATGCTTAATGTATGCAATCAGAAACCTTAAGTCATTCCTCCTGCATTTCTTCAGTCTCCTTCGTATCAGTGACTGTTGTGAATTGTGCTTCTGTAACATCTCTCTTATCCATTCCCTGCTCACCATCCTCACTTCTACATATTCAGTTTGGCTACTTGTCGTTTCTATCTAGGACTATTACAGCAGTCTTCTAACTGTCTTCCTGTCTCTATTTTTCAACTCTTCCCATCTCCCTTGCATACTGCTGTTAGAAGAATCTTTTTTTTTTTTTTTTGAGGATGATTAGCCCTGAGCTAACATCTGTGCCCATCTTCCTCTAATTTATATGTGGGACACCTGGAACAGCATAGCTTGATAAGCGGTGTGTAGGTCCCTGCCTGGGATTTGAACCAGCGAACCCCAGGCCATGGAAGCAAAGTGCATGAACTTCACCACTATGCCACCAGGCTGGCCCTGGAAGAATCTTTTTCAATTGCAAATTTGATCATTTTTATTTTGTACTTGAAGCTGCTTAATGGATTCCCATTGCCTCTGATATAAATTTCAAACTCATTAGATGGCACAAGAGGCCCTCCATTATTTAAAGCCAGTTTTCCTTTCTCTTCATGTCTAAGGTTGTGTCTTGCTCCCTCCTATTGACACTCTGCACTCAAGCCTAAGAACCACCTGTGCTTGCTCCCAGGCATTCTGCTATTTCACGTCCCTGTCTCTTGGTTCACAGTGCTTCCTCTTTTTCTTTTGTCTCCTTGGAGAATATCTCTTCATCTTTGAAAATTCCAGTTAAGGCTCACTTTCTCCATAAAGTTTGATCTCAATCGCATATCTGGAATTGAATAATCTCCTCTTTGTGTTTATTCCTCTTGTAAGGTGCTTGGACACGCCTCTTCTCCATCCTCATCAGATTCTCCTGCTGGAATTAAGCAATCCCTCTTGGGAATACTCTTCTGTTACAGCTTGGGATTTGCCTTTTCTCCCACCATCAGGGCATAAGCTCCTTATGAGCAGAGGCTGCAGCTTCCTCATTTTTGTATCTCCAGGTCTTTGCCTAATCCCTAAAAGACACTTAGAATATATTCTTTGAATAAATTTTAAATATTTCATTCTTCAAATATTGTAGCATCTAGAATATTACTTGTGCTTAAAAGTGTTTTCGTTTTTGGAATCATATCTTCAGTATCTTTCAAGTTTGCAGCACTTGTTATTTTAATTCACACTAATAATCAAAGAATATACATTCTCTATGCTTTCAAAACAGGTGACTCATGGCATCCCTAAATAAATATTCAATTTGGGACAAAAATGTGGGCCAGGACAATAAAATTTGATTACAAGTCCGTTTTACAAATCGTGAAAGTAATTGAAGAGTGTTTTTTGCTCTCATTATGCTTCAAGTCACCTGGAGGACTTTTGGAAAACTACACACCCCGAGTCCCATTCAGAATCTTCTTTGTGGGGCTAGGAAATTTGTGTTCAAAACAAAATATTCAAAAGTACTCTGCAAGTTATTCTGACCCAGTCAGTCCTTCCAATAGTATTAGGAAATCACTGATTTTAAAAGGAATCCAGGGTAATGTTGATAAACAGACAAGATCAGGAACCACATCTTCCAAAGATAAATTGCAAATAATTTAACAGTAATTAAGACTTCAATTTATTATTATTATTATTATTATTATTATTATTTGTGTGTGTGTGTGTGTGTGTGAGGAAGATTAGCCCTGAGCTAACAACTGTTGCCAATCCTCCTCTTTTTGCTTGAGGAAGTTTGTTGCTGAGCTAACATCTATGCCAATCTTCCTCTATTACATGTGGGACACCGCCACAGCATGGCCTGATGAGTGGTTCTGGATTCACGCCCTGCTTCCAAACCTGTGAACCCTGGGCTGCCAAAGTGGAAGCACAAACTTAACCACTGCACCACTGGGCTGGTTCCTCAGTTTATTATTTTTAACCTCCTTTCACCAGGCATAAAGCTAAAAACCACGAAGGCAGAATTTGAAACCAGGAGTTGCTCTTTGCCAATTCCATCCTTTTCCTTCTATATTTTGCTGCCTGTCAAAATGCTATGCTATTTAAAGCTGCCATAAATAGCATGATTACTATCATAAAAGGAAATATTTCCAAAAATATTTTAATGAAAATAAATAATGTGCAATTATTTCAAAAATGCACATTCTTGTCACTTGGCAATCAAACCTTAATTAACTTAAGGTTAGGTTAGAGTGGCATCACAGCTGTCTGGTCTCATGATTAATGTGTAATTTTAAAGAAAAAATAGAAGATCACAGCAGAAGTACTCTTATAGTTTGAAATATCTAGGATTAGGCCAATTAAAGCATTTCAGCATTGTCAATAACAGAATGAACTCCTGCTAGCATCCTCCCTCTCATTTTAAAATTCATGTACCACATATGGAGTACACTACAACCAAAAAAAAAGCCCTAGATACATTGGGCTAACATAAATACTCCATGTTGGTCCTTATTCTTCCACATGATACACTTCCATCTCTAGAGTCCAGGGCATACATTCCAATGTTTCTGTCATGGGCCTGATCAGTGGAGAACTCAAAACGTACCTATCTTTCCCTAACACCTGGTTACCACTGGTTACCAATTCTAATGTAAATAGATTATTATGAATAGGGTAGACTAAAGGGTTGGACCACACATCTTTTCTGTAAAATGGAGATCATAAGACCTGTTTGATAAAATTGTTGTAAAAACTAACTGCAATAATCATATATGTAAAGCACTACTGGGCACCAGCCAGATGCTCTAAGTGGCAGTTACTTCAATAAAACTTGCCTTTGCTCTCGTGAGGGCACTCAGCTCAGTGCTCCAGGCACAGGACTGCTTGAGTACTGTTTGTTGGTTGATAAGTCCATCTTATTGTACTCCTTGGAGACCCTTCCATGATTGTCTTGCTTGATAAATGGGGCGTGGAAAAGAACATGTTACTGTCGGGACAACTTTGGTGCTCATATATTCAAGTTAATCTTGTCCGAAAATTTTAAAATGATAACTTGTGTGAATAGCTTTAAAAAAATCCATTAGAGGTAGAATAAGCCTATTTCACTCCATATAATCTTTGTCTCCAGATAACACTTTAGATTGTAGGGAGGGGCAGGTTTGAATCATGGCTGAGATGAATAATCACAATAGTTCTATTGAAAGAAGGCAAGGAAGGGAAACAACTTTTAAATTTTGCATGCCAATGGGCATAATTATTGGAATTTATAAGTTACAGGATAATTTGTTGAATTATGGAGTTACGTAGGCATATTTACGTGCACACACATATATGCCCACATACACATATCAGCCTTCTGTCTATAGCAAATATGCATTCCCAACTATATTTACTTGGAATATTGTGAAATATGTTTTCTTTCCTTGAATCCATATGAATGATGGGCAGAGTATGTTGGGTCAGGGAGAAGGTGGCAGAATATGAAAAATGCTACAAAAATCTATTGGCATGTGACTGACTTACAGCTTCAACAGATTTGATTTATCAATCTTGTTTTAAATAACTACCGAACACATTTTGTTCTTTGGGAATTCAAATTTGCACACTATTTCTGTCATAGTTTGGAAAATTTGTAATCAACAGTAAAGAATTCAAACTTTCACTTAGCCTTCCAGTGTAGTAAAATGCACATACATGGGACTGGCCCAGTGGCATAGTGGTTAAGTTGGCACACTCCACTTCATTGACCCAGGGTTCACGGGGTCAGATCCTGGGTGTGGACGTCTCATCAAGACACACTGTGGCGGTGTCCCACATATAAAATGGAGGAAGATTGACACAGATGTGAGTTCAGTGACAATCGTCCTAAAGCAAAAAAAGGAAGATTGGCAGTAGATATTAGCTTAGAGCCAATCTTCCTCACCAACAAAAAAGAAAATGTGCGCGCAATTTGATGACCAAATCCCAGGTCACCCATTAACTAGTTGAGCAACTTTTGTGTTTTTTTAAGTCTCATTTCCTTGATTTATAAAATGGAAATAAAGATAGCTACCAGAAAAGACTTCTTACTATAGAAATCAAGTATGTCTCTATAATATATACACATACATACAGCATATTTGTATTACATGCATTTTGCATGTGTGTGTTTATGTAAAGCACTGCCTACTAAGTTTTGAAATATACCTCTACTTAATTTAAAATATAGCCATTTTGTTCAATATACTTTAGATGTTTCTTTGAATAATCTGAATAACAACCTTTTCTGAAAGAAAAGAATACGTTCACTATTTGTTCTCTCTTGTTACAGGCTTATGAAAAAATTGCTTACTTTCTCACTAATTTAGGTAAGTCCATTTTTCTTACTTTACTCCTTAGTAAGAAAATAATATATGGGCATATCAGTCTGTAGCCGCTTTATGGACTTTAGCATTTTTAATATCAACTTCGGTTATATAATTGTCAATAAAAATGAAAGAGGTGGCATAGGAAGTTGGACTATACTGCATAACTAGAGAGAGGCGATGCAAGTGCTTACAAAATCTCCTTGCTAGAAATTAGCAAGCCTAGTCCTCCCCGTTTGGGAGTGTTTCTTTTCCCCTACCTTTTCACTTCTTTGGGTTCCCCCCCAAATATTTATTTTTATCAAAATATTATACCACATGTATACAACTTAAAAGGCAAAATAGTATTAAGAGATTTATAATGAAGACCAGCCTTTGCCGTGTTACCCATTCTTATTTTCTATATCCCAAAGGAACTACTTTTTAACAATTTTATCAATTTCTTCTATTTCCTACCCTATTTCTAAATAACGTGCTTCCACTGCCATTCCTGGGTTTTCAGCTTCAGGAAGCTATTGCCCTCCCACTGTGACAGACGGAACTCAGGTCTGGCTGTTCCCTGCAGTGCCCTGTCCCGCACACCTCCCCACCCACCACCTGTTGACACAAACCCGTATTTCCCCTCCCTCCAAAGTAGTTGTATCAGCATTTTAGCCAAATTAATAATTAGTGTTCACATCATTGTGTCTGTGTAACTATTTTCATATCTAAGGCATGGTGTGTACTACGACTGTTTCCTAGTACAACTTTTATTTTTTGACGACGCTAATAATAGCAATTTTTGCTTAATTTTCTACATACTTTCTTTAATGTATCCCAACTCTAAATTCTTTCTAAATACCTTCAAAAACATCAAGTATCCTGCTGATTCTATTTTCTCCTTAGTATCACCCTCCCTGATCCACCGTCTCCTCCACTCTCCGTGGTCGCCCTCCAGCTTGTGCCCAGTGGCATCCACACTTCTGTCACCTGCACCGCAGGAACTCCTTTCACCTTTTTTTTCCTCAGCTGAACACTATTTTTCCTTCTTTTGCTACCTGGAAATTAAATTTCTTGAGACTTTCTATGTCAGAAGATGTCTTTTTTCTCTCCTCATACTTGATTTGGGTCCCCAGTTTGGGGAACACATTTTTATTACAGAGCTGTTTGAGCAGTGATCTTTTACTGTTTGAGAACTCACCCGATCTCAGGCACTGTGCTAAACACTCACTTCTCATTCGTTATTGTGTTTTATTGTCACCACAATTCTGTGACAGTAGGATCCGCATTTTATGGATAAGGAAACCAAGATAAGTTAAATAAATAGAATTTAAACTCAAATGTGACAGATTCCACTTAACTATTGTGGAGTAACTATATGCCTTCACTATGACATATCACTTCCCCTGTGATGTATTTACAAGTACAAGTAGTAACAGAAGGGATCCTGTGTAGAGGAAGAGCTAATCCACCCCCTGCAGCCGAGTGGTCATATCCCCCGGGGATTATGTGACTGTGAGCTGGTCTTCTCTCTCGAGTCTTTCTCCTCCTCCTTTTTTTTTGAGGCTCAGTTTCCTCATTGATAAAATGAGAATGATAATAATTCCTATTTCACCATTGTTGTGGGTCGGCTGCCTGACACATGGCAAGTGCTCAATAAATGGGAATGGTCTGTTTCATCGTTCTTTAAAGCCTCTGAGCTCCAGTGTCTTCAGCTGGTCGTGAAGCACTTGAACTAGATTGTCTCAAAGCTCTCTTCTAGCTCTGATTCCTTCTATTCATTTGCTTTTAAAGTACTTTATACCCAGGATGGAAGCAAATCTAAGGAAGTGATTTGGGGAACCATAATTAATAGTAAGAAACTGAACACCTATTGTGCTAATACCAAATACCAAAGGAATACCAAAGTTTGCACTTGATATTTAATTCTTCCATCTATAACTCATGGCATAGTGCCTGGGGATTCATAATTATTAAGTAATGATGAATGGACTATATTAATTAAATTAATAAAAATATTGATATTGTTTAAAATAATATAATATCATTGTGTGTGCATATATAAATAGATATATAATATAAATGTGGCATTATATTCTATATCATTTTGGCTGTGTAAATTTATGCTTCAAATTAGAAATTAGGCTTTACTTCTGAGAAGAGGTCACACTGTTTTATTTAAAGGACTTTTTTAATGTTATGTTTCTCGATTTATTTTTCAGACAAATATTTTATTTTCAAAAACCACAAAAAAATTCAAAGTTTCAATTCTGTCACATTTGCTTTTTTATATGAGAAGAAATATATAATATTTGATCTACGGTGGGTTTTTTTTTTCAGTTTGGTTTTATGGTTGTTGAAGATTAGATCAGAATGGTTGTTAGTTGTTACAAATAATGTGTTATCTATAGAGATGAACTGTGGTTTATCTATAATATGAATTATGTATAAAAATGAACTAGATTTCAAGAAACAAGCCAACAGATGAAAAGAGTTTTGATTTTGTCAAACAGAGGTCAATTCAGGAATAAGAGCATTTATATCAAGAAAGTAGCAATGATAAAATCCGATGTCACCATAATAATATTAGGAAAAGTAAAACTTAATGTATATTTGAGGAGGAAAGAGGGATACTTCATACTGGCAAATAATCTACCAGGTCAATGTAATAGTTACAATTTCTATAAATCTTTTCAGAAACTTTCAAAAAATAGGAAGCAAAAAAATGATAGAAATACAAAAATAAATCAACAAATCCACACTCAAAATATAAACTAGGATATAGCGTATTTAAATATCATAAGTAACAAGCTTCTTTTAAAATATATGTAACTGATATACTCAACAGAAAAATAAGTATTATTTTCAAACACTTGATGCATAGACAAAAGTTATTCATGTAATTTGGCCACAAATGAAATTGCAGATTTTTGCCCCAAAGCAGAAATCACACAGGACACATTTGTGGATCATGATGTAATAAAATTAGAAATGGAGAACTGAAAACAATCTACACACCAGGGAATTTTTAAAAATCCACATTCTCATTTGTAAATAAGGTTTGTGCTAAATTGACAAACTATTTAGAAGGAAACAACAGTGAAAACACGTCCTATCAGAACCTGTGGAGAAATGTCAGCTCTCCTGAGGGCTCTCACTGGTGCCCACCAACCATCGCTCTTGTGACTCCTATTTCTGGCTTCTACCTGCTTTGAGCTTGGACTTCCCCAGGACCTGTTCCCTCTATGTTTTCATGCGTGCGTTTTGGCCTACCTTTTCCTTAAGTTAGATCCCATTTTCTACCTCTCTTGAATTCTTCAATTATCTTAGAATATACATTAGAGGTGCATGTATATTTTCTATGATTTATTTGAACTTTGGGTGGGAGCAGAGGCTGCAGTACATGCTGCCATCTTCATCCAATCTCTCTCATCATTTTAGTTTGTTTGATTTTGGTTGTTTTGTTTTAAGAGTCATAGAACCATAAGATGTGAGAGTTGACTGGGTTCTTGAAATCACTTTGTCTAAATTCCTCATTTCATAGATGATGAAAGTGATTGCAAAAAATGTAAAGAGACTTACCTGAGATTACCAACAAATTAGGTATATGATTGAGATTAACAACTCAGCTTTTCTGACTGATGTAGCCCTCTTTTCTCTTTACCGTTCCACTTCAGTCTGCACATAAAATATTCATTCTTCAAAGAACTCCGTCACCAGTTTACGTTCTATATTGAGCATAGCCAGTTTGAGTGAAGGACTGTTCCAATATTTATGGTTCCCTCCAAACGACAATAGCAGAGAGAATCCTGAAAATCTTTATATATTAATAACTGGCATCATATTTTTGTGGCTGTGGGAAAAGTCTAAAGATGATCTCATGGATGCTTTCATCAGCTCTGTGCAGGATGTTGTCATTCGCGTTTTACAGACACAGACACTAGAACTCAGACAGTGCCTCATGAAACTAGTAAGTGACTGAGCGAGGACGTGAACCTGGGGCTTCTGATTCTGTATCCATATTTCTTGTCATTCACCTCATCTGTGTAAATACGCCCTGTGTGTCTTTTTAGAATATCCTCGAACGGAATCTGAATGGGAAAATAGCTTTGCTCTGAAGATGTTCCTCTTCCAGTTTGTCAATTTAAACAGTTCTATCTTCTATATCGCTTTCTTTTTGGGGAGGTAAGTCAAATTGATGCACCTTATCTTTGCACAGTGAAAAACACTGTCAACAGTTCCATTGCCAGTTTGTTAAAAGAGGTGGCAAATTCTTGTCCCCTGCCTTGGCAAACTGTGCTAATTAGCATTCACATGCCTTTTCAATCAAAAGACTTTTCCGTACCGTGCTTTGAGCCACCACTACCAAGTAAAGTTGACATAAAAAATAAAACCATATTTGGGTTTGATTGTGACTATCCAGTCACCAGTAATGGTTTTGTTAGATAAAAAAATAACTTTTGTGCAACCCTACGTTACAGTTACTTGGTGTGGAAATTTTTACTTATCATGTTAATGTTTTTTTTTCCTATCTTTGCTACAAAATATGAAAAAGAGGCATATTAAACTACTGGTTCTGATTTGCCATATGTTTAACAGTCCAGCCATTGCCATGGAAACATACTGAAGCTAGAAACATTTTAAACTAAATAATTCAGCACATTATACTAATATTCATTAACTAGGTCAACAAGACGTTAAAACTCTACAGATGAAAGTGGGAAATTTCATTCGGTTGGTTTGTCTGTACTTTCCCAACTCATTGGTACTGAATCACGCGTCACTTTTTCCTTGTGAAGTCAGGTACTTTGATGTATAAGGATGGCCTAAGTCGATCATTTGGGACAAGTTGCACCAGTGAACATTTATGTCTACCCACACACGTACTTGTTGTGATGCTTTAGTAGATGTTTCAGTCAACCCCACATAAATGCTAATGAATTAAATGGCTTTTTACAGATTCGTAGGCCACCCAGGACATTACAATAAACTTTTTAACCGTTGGAGACTGGAGGAAGTAAGTAACCTTGTAAGGGTGGGTGTGGGGATGTGCATGGATACTGGCCAATGGCTGTGGGAGGGAGAGGGTGAGAAAGACAGAGAGAGAAAGTGAACAGGGAATTTCAGGCATGCTGAAGACACATGTTTGGTAGAGGAGAGTTCCTATGGGTTCAGAAATGAAGGAACTACATCTTTCTAAAAAAGGAGGTGAACTTAAAGGTTAAACCTCAAGGTCCTGGCCTCAGATCTCTTTAATTCTCTATCAAATTCATTTCTTCCATTCAGAAATTTAGGGCCAGGAATTTTCCTCTTTTGGGGAATTATTATTATCTAGTTCATGAGTTTTCAAATTTTACAATATGTTTTCTTTTAAGCAGGGAAACTTTAGTCCAAAAGAAATATTACTATAAATATGTAGATATATCTTCCAAATCTCCTATGTCTTCATTGATCTATAAGACATACATCACAGAAACAAAATGTCTAGTAGTAGAAACATCACAGGGTAAGCATTTGCATAGCTTCTGCATAGCTTCAGTGAGACTGACAAATTGTCCTTCAAAATACTAGCCCCTACCTATAGTGTATGAGCTTGCTTCCTCAGACTTTTGCCAAGAGAAGCATTTTAATTTTTGTGAATAGAATAGTCAAAAGGATATCTTCTTTTTTTAAAAAATTATTTTATTGAGGTCATATTAGCTTACAGCATTGTGTAAATTTCAGGTGTACGTTATTATATATCAGTTTCTGTATAGACTCCACGTGTTCACCACCAATAGTCTGGTTTTCGTCTGTCACCATACATATTTTCCCCTTTACCCCTTTCGCCCTCCCCCCACCCTCTTCCTATCCGGTAACCACCAATCTATTCTCCTTATCTATATGTTTGTTTGTTTGTTTATATTCTGCATATGCACGAAATCATATGGCATTTGTCTTTTTCTGACATTTCACTTAGCATAGTGCTGTCAGGGTCCATCAATGTTGTCACAAATGGCACAGTTTTGTCTTTTTGTAGCTGAGAAGTATTCCATTGTATATGTATACCACATCTTCTTTATCCATTCATCGTTGATGGGCACAGATCAAAATGTTGCTTCCACATTTTGGCTATTGTAAATAATGCTTCGGTGAACATAGGGGTACATATATCTTTTTGAATTATTGATTTCATGTTCTTTGGACAAATAACCAGTAGTGGAATAGCTGGATCATATGGCATTTCTATTTTTAATTTTTTGAGAAACTTCCATACTGTTTTCCATAGTGGCTGCACCAGTTTACATTCCCACCAGCAGTGTATGAGGGTTGCCTTTTCTCCACACCCTCTCCAACACTTGTTATTTCTTAGAAAGGATATCTTCTTTTGATTTAAATTCCTTTAATTTTGAGTCAGATGGAGAATATTTTTCATATGTTTGTTGGACATTTTGTATTTCTGTGCATCTATGTGTGTACTATTCCTGTTCATTTTCATTAGACTGGTTTTTTCTGCCCTAAATTTATAAATAAAATGAGGCTCTAATCTTTCCAACTTGCTACAGATATGTTTCCCATTTTCCTTTTCTTATTTTCTTTTATTTATTTATTTATTTGTTTGTTTATTTATTTTGAGGAAGATTAGCCCTGAGCTAACATCTGCTGCCAATCCTCCTCTTTTTGCTGAGGAAGACTGGCCCTGAGCTAACATCCGTGCCCATCTTCCTCTACTTTATATGTGGGACGCTTACCACAGCATGGCCTGCCACGCAGTGTCATGTCTGCACCCGGGATCTGAACCAGTGAACCCTGGGCCACCAAAGCGGAACATGTGAACTTAACCGCTGCGCCACCGGGCTGGCCCCCCATTTTCTTGAATATCTTTTAACTTTGATGCATTTCTTATAAAACTGTATAGCCTTTTCTAATCAAAATTTCACTGATGTTAATGGCTTTGGGGATTTGTATCATGCCAAAAATGTGTTCTCCATTCTGGAAATAAGAAAAATCTCACACTTCTGTTTTTCACTAATGTTATTCTTTTAAATATTGATATCTTTGGCCCATTGGGAGTTTTTTGTTGTTGTTTTAAAGAGTAATCAAGATTTTTGCCTCAATTGGCAGCCACACATTTAATAAATAATATCTTTTTTCACTCAGCAAAATGAGATTCGAAGATTTATCCCATTTTATATCTTGAAATCATGTCTGTTTCTGGACGCTGTTCAGTCTCGTTGGTTAGATTGTTTATTTCTTCTCCAGTTCAAAATTGTTTTAATTATTCTAATGTAAAATCCAGTTTAATAGAAGGTAGCATTCGTAGGAGACCTTAATTTAGAGAGAGGCTAGGGAAAGATTTCCCGAGAAAACTGAGGATAGAAGTATTCCTACTCTCTGTCTAAAAAGTCCCCAAAACTCAGGGGGAGCCCTCATTGATGTTGTCTCCCCAGAGTCTTCTAGAAATTGCTTGGGATGCATGGACAAAGCCTCAAGCTTTATAAGAACTTATGCTTTATATTGCAGAAAACTGGGCTCAACTGCTAACCTTGCTGCTTATTAATTCTTTGTCCCCAATTTAACCTCTCTGAAAAGCCGTCTCCTCATCTGTAAACTGGCAATAGAAATACTGGGTTACAAAGATGTTGATAGATGAGGGAAAATCTGCATCACATAATTAGCACACCCCCTGGGCTGGGTAGGCACTCTATAAATTGTAGCTGATATTATCTATGCTCTGTCTCGAAGCTACCTGAGTATTATTCTATTGGCCAGAGACAGACTAAGGCCTTTCATAATCCCAGGCCTCTGAGAAGTCCCCAAATCAAACATGCAGTTTTCTTTCATAGCCCAAAAGTGTGACTATGTTTGCTAAAAGGCCTTTCATCTACCCAATTTGAGACCCAAGCCTTCCTTTTTTTCCAGGAGTGTTCAACTGGAGTGAGCAAGTGTAGGGTGGGGCACAGAGTGGTTACAGGCAGGTAGATGTGCATACTAATGCCATTTTAGGAACTGCTGCCACCAATAATTTTGTTTAATTGGATGTGCTTACTCTTAGTTGTGAAATTATTGGAAGTCATGATTCCCCTTTGAAAGTCACAGGGAAAGAATTATAATACTGGTGTCAGGAAAAATGTTTTATAACCATCCTAGACATTTTCCACAATATATATGACATAGGTAGTGGCCATATGTTCCAAAAAAGTATTACTTATGTTGAAAAAAAGTCATTGAAATGAAAAATGTGGGTTTGTGATAGATGCTAGAAACCCTAGAAGTGTAGATATAAAAAGGGTACATAATGGAAGATAAGAACTGACACTCTGAATTCAGATTACAACAAGCATTTATTGACACAGGCTCTCTTCCAGGCTCTGCTGGGTAATATGGGGTGTACAAATGAGGAAGTCTCTTTCCTTTCATTGATTGGTGTTAGTAGTCTTGAAGAAAAGGACATAACCGTGACGTGTAACAAATATCTGTCTTTGGAGTCTGACAGTCTACACCCTAACCTGCCCAACTCAAACGCTTGATCTCAGTATCCCTAAGTCTCAGCTTTCTCTTTTGTCAATTGTGGTAAGAATAGCTATCTCAGTAGTGTTGGTGATAGGTGGATTAAATTGGATCATGCATGTAAAACCCTTGGTACAAATAATGGTAACCATTATAAAGAAAGGAAAAATTGCCACAATTTTATTTAGAATATTTGTGACTGACGATCCTGGACTTTCCTCATACTGTGCTATATAATATCTCACATAAATATTTTATGTAAATCTTATATACAAAGAATAATATCTAATATTTAATGAGTACTTACTATATGTCAACACATTCCATCAATCGTTTCTAAGTGTTCTTTGTGCATTTAATCCTCACAAAAATTCTATTCTTTTTTTTTTGCTGAGGAAGATTCACCCTGAGCTAGCATCTGTTGCCAATCATCCTCTTTTTGCTTGAGGAAGTTTTGCTCTGAGCTAACATCTGTGCCAGTCTTCCTCTATTTTGTATGTGGCTCGCCACCACAGCATGGCTGCCAATGAGTGATGTAGGTCCGTGTCCAGGAAACGAACCCGGGCCACTGAAGGGGAGTGCACCAAACTTAACCACTAGCCCCACAAAACTGTAGTTTACACTCATTTTACAGATGAGGAAACAGAAGCTTGGAGAAGTTATATAATTTGCCTACAATTATAGAAACATGTTTATAAATTGATTAAGTCATCAATTTGATGTCAATTTGATTCAGGCAGTTAGCTTCAGAGTCTATGCTATGAACACAGTGCTTTCCAGCCACCTTTGTGTAACACATGGGTGCAATCCAGAACATAATGGAAATTGATTTTGTTAAGAGATCCCTGAATGATTGCTGGCTCACATGTAAATTGGGTTTAGAGTAAACACACAAAAGTGGATGAAGTGAAAGGAACATGCGTATTGGAGTCTGATAATCCTATCTGCCCCTTAGCTTCATCTTTTACAAAATGGAGATACCAACACACATCTCACTAGGTTCTCATGAGGAACAAATGAGAACAATATGTGAAGGCACCCAGACTTGAGTTGTCCGAGGTTATATGATTTTGAGTGTGTAACTGGAATGACAGCCTGGGTCTCCTCCACGCTCATCCATGCCCCATCACTCATTCTAAGTATGGACTCTGTTTGCCAAATGAATTTTAGAGGGTTGAAGTGCTGAATTTATCTCACAGGAATCATTATGTGAAGGGGACAGACCCACTGAAACTGCTGGATTCTTTTCTCTGCTGTATTAATCACAAAGTCATCAAGGGTCAATTTCAACAAAATTATAAATGACCCATCATCCAGCCTCCCTACTTTCTCCTACCATTGTGCAAAGTGATGCCACCACATGGTTCTGTGATGATGTTCTTTCTCCATTCCCATGTAATAATATGCTTTGCTAAGCCAGCCCTTCCAGGCGACAAATGCATTTGGTAAATAGAGCTCATCGTAGCGTCATGTAGAAGAGCAGTGGATCTGGGTGCTGGAGACCCAGGTATTCATTCCGCACTGCGAGTCAGCACTGCATGATCCTGGCAAGCTAATTTGCCTCTTTGAGTCTCTCTACAAAAATGAAGAGTTTCAGTTTGCAGCTGATGTACGATCTGCTTCTGTAGCTTTGTAATTATTCTGCCTCAGACATTCTACCAAACCCATTTATCATATATATGTGGCAATGTTCAGGGGGTCCTAAATTCATCCTAGAAAGAAAGGGCATGCTTTGATGGGAGAATTGAGACTTCACATTGCAAAAAGCACCACTGCAAACTCCTCTCTGCCTCAGATTAGAGAGTTTTAAGTTACTGAGCTGGAACTGGAAAAGCAGGCTCTTTGTGTCCTAATTATTTGTTCCCTTTGAAGTCCCACTGGTCCCAATTTGATAGAAATAGAAACTGGATCAAAGCTATAGAGACTGTCATCCTTATGAGCAGGACATGAACCCATTTCCAAAGAAACAGACCCACACTTTCCTACCCAAATGTCTTCTATAATGCAAAATTTTCAAGCAAACCCCATCGATTGCAATTTTCATTTTAATCACATTTTTGTTTGTGTATATTTCTGATGCTAATGTTTAATAAAAATCTAAAAAAGCAGAGGACAGAGAGAAGGCGAAATTGGGATCATGCTGACAAACTATTTTGTGGCATGTTTTTATTACATAAAAATACATTATAATATATGTAGATGGTTCCTCTCCAGGAGGTAGAGCTTAACACCTGCCCCCATCTTGAGAGTGGGCTAGACTTAATGACTCACTTCTAAAGAAAAGGTAGAAAAAGGGAAATGAGTAACTGTGCAGTGGGAGCACCTGGCAGACACTACAGCAACCAAGTGATGAAGGTTAATGTCACGAGTGATATCTTGTGGATATCATGTAGCCCCTGATGAGACGCGATGCAAATGACACTTCACCTCTGTGATCTGCCTCCACCCCTCAAATACGTAACCCCAGTCTAAATGTGTGAAAACACCAGACAAACCCAGACTGGGGAATTTTCCACAGGATACTTGTCCAGAAGGCCTCCAACCTGTCAAGGATATGAAAAACTGAGAAACTGTCTAGACCAGAGGAGACTGGGGAGACGTGACAAATAAATGCAATGGGGTATCCTGGATTGGGTCCTGGAGCAGAAAGAGGGTATTAATTGAAAAACTGGTGAATTATAAATAAAATCTGGAGTTTAGTTAATAGCAATATACTAATGTCAGTTTCTTAGCTTTGATAAATATACCTTGGTACTGTAAGGGGCAATGGGGAGAATTGAGTGAGAGGTGTACAGACACTCTCTGTACTATCTTTGAAAATTTTCTAATGATTTAAAATTATTCTGAGATAAAAAGGTTATTTTAAAAGAATATATTATAAACATTTTGCCATAGAATTAAAGATTTTTCTATCTCCTGATTGATAATGGATATATAGATTCCAGAACATTCATTAAATGTGATCATGCATAACACAGAGGTTGGTAGATAGTAAGTGCTCATTAAAATTTAGATTCCTTGTTATTGCTGTTATAATTTTCATCAATATTCCAATATAATTCCTGAAAACTTCCTTATCAAGTGTCCTCATACTTGTTGTTTCTTCCGTGTTCTTATTTTCTTTTTTTTTAAAGATTTTTTCTTTTCCTTTTTCTCCCCAAAGCCCCCCGGTACATAGTTGTATGTTCTTCGTTGTGGGTCCTTCTAGTTGTAGCATGTGGGACACTGCCTCAGCGTGGTTTGATGAACAGTGCCATGTCCACACCCAGGATTCGAACCAACGAAACACTGGGTCGCCTGCAGTGGGGCGCGCGAACTCAACCACTCGGCCACGGGGCCAGCCCCCGTGTTCTTATTTTCTTTATGCATTGAGATAATGTGACCTGGTTTTAGAGTTGGCTATACAGTCTGAAGGTGGGGATGTTTAAGCCAGCCCAGAAGAGCAAGATCATTATTATTATTGTTGTTCTGTTTCAGTGTCATCCTAGTGGCTGTTTGATAGACCTCTGCCTCCAGATGGGAGTGATCATGTTTTTGAAGCAAATATGGAACAACTTCATGGAACTGGGATACCCGTGAGCACTTATTTTTAAATTTGCCTTTTATATAGTTACAAAGAAGAAAGATAGAGGTAGTGTGAATAGTTGTTAAAAATTTGCACTTGGTAATCAGACAGCTGAGGGCTCAGGTCCTGCTCTGCTCCTCACTAAATGGAGGCCCGTGTGTAAGTTCATAAACCTGTCTGAGCCTCAGTTTTCACACCTCTAAGATGGGATTCACAGCTATATCCATCTCAAGAACAGTTGAAGGATTAAAGGGAATAATGGATGTGGAGTGACTGGTACTCTGTTCAACACATCAAGACACTCGTTCCTGTCCTTGAAACATCATTGATAGTCCAGGTTCTTGAGGATAAAAATAACTCTCTGGTTTCTTTCGGCTACCAAAAAACCGAGGTGATTGTTGTTTAATTAAAGAGAGCGTCCATCTGCGCTCCCCACGCCCAAAGAGAATAAAACAAAGGTAAAATCCTGGATGGGGAAGTTTTGTACTCTTTGTTACACCAAAAAAAGAAAAAAATCATTAGAACAGGATTATTGTGATAACATCAAAATAAGAGCGTTCTATTTTAACCATTTAGATAAGTTTTAACTGTCTGTGAAATGCTGACGTAGAAGGATGCTGAATGCCCACTTTTACATCTATTAAAATATATTATCCTTTAGAATACAGTGAAATACAGTGTATTTAGAATATTGTGATATGGATGCTTTGAGGCCTAATCAAGTTTAAACACATGACTATTTTAAGAAATTTCCTAATTATGAGGGAAGAACTTGCTAATTGGTGATATAAATAGCTTAGGCTTAGTCATCAAATTATACCATGCTTCTTTCTCCTTTTTGGCCCACAAATGGTATCAGGACATTTCTGAGCAGAGATCTTGGGGCTGCACAGGTGATATTAACCCTGAAATCTACTGTAAAGTATTGTGTTAAATTGCAGGCAGTCTTAGAGCGTAGACTATGAAATTACTGAGACCAAGTTCAGATTCCTTCTCTGTCCCTATAAGCTAAAGATGCTTATAATTTACTTGACCTCTCTGAGACATTATGTTTTTTTATTTGTAAAATAAGGGGTTTATAAAAATTAAATGAGGTGACCCAATGGTCTTTAAACCTTTTCAAATAACTGACAGAACATTTTGTAAAGAGATTTTATGCAGATACTCAATTTTCAAAGCAGATTAAAATCAATCTCTTCTAAATGAAGAAAGAAGAAGAATGAAGGATTGGGGAGCCCAGTCCATTCTTCATATCTCTTCCTATCCTTGGCTCACCTCTTTGAAACACGGGCTTTGGGAAAATCATATGAAAATACCTGAGGGAGTTAGGTATCCAGTGCCTAGCATAGGATCTTACATGCTGTGGGTACTTCATAAGCACTGACAAGGTGTTGTAGGGCTCATTATAGTATTAAGAATGATTCTTGTTCTCATTATCCATGGACTTCTGTATCTACCATGCACTTTGGACAGCACATTTTCACCATGGCCTTGCCCAAGTGGTCACCGTGGATTGCATATATCAAATCCCAAGGGTATTACGACACAGGACATCCTGTTGGTGTTTTTCCAATAGCTGGGCAAAGACCTTGTTGAAGAAAATCTACAGGAGTGGACCAGTCATAAAAGCAATGATTTTCAAACTTTTAAGCCATAATTCTCTTTCTTCAGGTGAAATCTTAAGCAGAACTGAAATAAATAAAATATAAACAAACAGCCCTGACTGAATTCAGAACTCCTGGCCCCTTTTTCTTCTCCACATGGAGCTTGAGAGACCATCTCCGTGGGAGGCACGTTGAAGCACTGCCTGATGCTTTGGTCCAGCTGTGGTTGTTCTTCCAACTCCCACCGAAGCTCTAGGTCCATGATAATTAAAATTTAGAGTTAGGTACTGTTCTCCAAGTCCTCTGAGATTCACCTTATCCTAGAGGTAATTTTCATCTAACTCTTAAAATAATTCATTACCCAGAAGTCCACAATATCTGCATACCAAGATGTTTCTGTGACATAATTTCAAAACTGCCCCTGGGCTAGGAAAAAGAGTATTGTTACTTCCTTTCCAAGTCTGAGAAATGGACTCAGACACAGATCCATTGCCTGAAAATTACTCTTCACTGTAGTAGCAGAACGTAATCATTAACAGTCCAACCCTTCATGTTTATAAACTCAGAAAAGTGAAGTGACTTGATAAAAGTAACACAGCTGATGCATTGCAGGTTAGGGACTAGAACTTACATCTTTTGAAACCCTATCTAGGGCTCAGTTATTGAGTGTGGAACATGATTTTACTCATGTTCAGAGAGCACAGCCCAAAAGATTTTGGGTTATAAGCAATGAAGGGCTCAGATCCAACCACAACAGGCAACATAAGTATTTTCCTCGATAGGGGTGGGGGAAGGAATCATAGAAATGGATGTTTGTTTGATCAGTATCAGGAAGCACCTAAATGTATGGGAGGATAAATTCCCAGATAAATATGTAGATGTTTATAGAGTCTGGGAAGGCTGAGGCCTGCTCCCATGCTGAACTTGGAAGTTGAGACCATGCAGATATCTCCATTTCTCAGGAATGCTTAGTGTAGTCCCAGAGTAGTTGGTGTTTTTCTTTTCTTAACACATTATAAATTGGTTACCAGTTGCTTAAGTAAGATCTCAGAAGCCCTTTGTCTGCCCTGTGATGTAGGTTGATCCAGAACTGGTGGTCACGACATAAAATTAAGCAAGAAATACAAAACGCTTCTATACCTCAGTGGGAAAATGATTGGAATCTGCAGCCCATGAATATTCACGGACTAATGGATGAGTACTTAGAAATGGGTAAGGAAGGAACCTTCTGCAGAGCTATTTGGCCTTCTTGATACTGTTTTTCTATTTCACACAGACTTTGGTTCAAGAGAGAAAACTATCTCTCTCCTTTCTGACCCCATGTGTTCTAAAACACATCTGTACCTTTATCTCAGCAGAGCTAGAGAGGATATTAAGGCAGTGCCCTTGGAAGGCTCCCACGCTTTGCCCTCCATCAGCCATCACGCTTTACCAAAATGAAGGTTTTTCTCATAGGAAAGCACTTAGCTTTTGAAGAAGTATTTTAAAGGAACAAAATAAAGTAGAACCCGTTCCTATACTAACAAATGTACCATCCTACCCAAATACAGCAATAATTCTTTCTGACAATGAACCTTTGCACAGACTCAGTCTGAGTTTTGGCTTCTTTGAGAAACTTGCTTAATTATATTAAAAAAAATGAAGATTCCCATTCCAACTGTTAAAATCTGCTGTGTGTTGTCCTGACATTTGCTTTTTCTCCACCTTCAGTTTCCTCATCTATTAAAAGAGAGGGCAACATTAGGTCTCTTGGTCCCTTCCAGAGCTAGGCATTTTTCTTCACGGCCTCCTCTTTGACTTCTTGTTTCTTTACTCTTCCTTCATGCTGCCACCATGGTATAGAGGGGAAAGCACAGGGACGTTCCATCTATTGAGATCTGAGTGTGAATGCAGGTTTTATAATTTTCTAGCAATCTACCCTTTAGCAAGTTTACTGAATGTGTATGAGCTATGGTTTCCTCTACTGTAAAATAGGATACACGTTTTTACCTTTAGGGATGCTGGAAAGCTTAAGGGTGATTTATATAAAACACCAAGAAGGTACTCAGTAAGTGATGCAGTTGATAGCACTAATTTTCCCACGCTCTCCCTTTGCAGTCTTGCAGTTTGGTTTTACCACCATCTTTGTTGCCGCTTTCCCTCTGGCTCCTCTTTTGGCTTTGTTAAACAATATCATTGAGCTCAGACTGGATGCATACAAATTTGTCACCCAGTGGCGGAGGCCTCTGCCAGCCCGAGCAACTAACATAGGTAAGATTCAGAAATTCAGTGGTTTTTGCATTGCTGAGGCCAACAGTGGGCTTGATCTTGCTCAGCACCATGTGGGTTTCCATTGCCGGGCTCCCTTCCAGCCATAACAAAGCTGAGCAGTTTTAGTCATCAAAAGGAGGAAATGAACACTAACTTAGCTGAGAGTAGATTCATACTAAACATGCTATTTCATAAACTTCTTTGTAACTAAAAATGATCTCATGTGTATCTTTCCATGTTAATAAATACAGCTCTGCCTCGTTCTTTATAATTGCTACACATATTTCTGTTATATGTTGTACGACATTTAAAAACAATCAGTCCTCTAACTAGGGATGTTTGGATTGCTTCAGTTCTTCACTGTTATAAACAACACTTAGGTGAACATCTTCATACATACTTTGTCTGATTATTCCTCAAGATAAATTCCTGGGATGGAGCTCCTGTGTCAAAGAGCATGTACATTTAAAATTTTGATAATTTTTCAACATGTTCTCCAGAAATATTGTGCCAATTTGTACTCCCACCCTAAGTGAATGGATGCCCATTTCTCCATTTCCTCCACCACTCCAGGTATAAGAAGGGGTTTTTGGCTTTTTTGGGTTTTTTTTGTGTGTGTGTGTGTGTGTTATTGTTCCATCCTCAACAATCTGAGGAAGAAAAAATGATATCTTGTTATATTTACTTGCATTTTTATAACTATGAGATTAAATATACATAAATATATTTGTATTTCTTCTTTACTAATTGTGTTTATCCCCTTGGCCATTATATCTGATTTGGTCATCTTTATCTCATATTAAGAATATTAACCTTTGCTATACAGGTTGTAGACATTTTCAAATACTGGTTTGTGTCACGAATAAGGTTTTAAAATGTGTGTATAATCAAATTGATATATCTCTCTTATAGTTGCTATTATTTATGGCATTCTTAGAAAGTTCCTTTAGAACTCATGAGTTTTCACCCATTGTTTTAATTCTTCTTTCATATTTTAGATGTATGTGTGCTGTTTAGTTTTTGTTTGTTTGTTGGCATTTTATGATTTTATTTAAATGGTTGATCTATTTGGAATTTGTTGTTAATAAAGGGGTTGAAATTAAGACCTAGCTTTTTTTTCCTAGTGGATAACCAATTGTCCCAAACCATTTATTAAATAAATCCATCTTTTTTTAAACTTATTTGAAATATCTCTGTTAGCTTATACTAAATTCTATATAAACTTAGGTGTATTTCTAGAGTCTTCATTTATCCTATTGACATGACTACTTATTCTTGGCATACTGTTTGCTGTAGTTTTATAATAGAAATTCTAAGTATATGGAAACACAAATACATAATTTTTCTTTTCTTTTTTGGGAATTTTCTGGCTCATATTGCAAGATTACCTTTTCAGTTAATTTTACTCACTTAGATGTATTCCATAACCAACAAAGTCTATTTAAAATATACTAACCTGTAAAGATTTAATGCCATTCAACTTGAGTTCTCATTTTTTGAAGGAATAAAATTATGGCTGTTATTTAATCTGGATATATTTATTATTTCATTATTTAAATAATGTAAACACATTAAAGAAAATCTAGAAAATAAATAAAAAAAAAAAGGTCCCATTACAGCTTTAGATAGTGGTTAGTGCACCTTCCAATGCATAGATTATTACTTTTTCAACTTTGCAGGATTGCCTTGTTCAAACCAGCAACACAAGGGTATCAAATCAACAATCCTTCTCCCCTTTCCCTTTCCCTTCCACCACAGGAAGTCGATGGTATCAATTAGGCATGTGTCCTTTGTCAATGTTCTTCTTGTTCATACAAGAATACAAAAAAATATTTATGCACATATATAGGATCCTCCAACTCAAAACACATTGGTATAATTCATTTTAATAGAGTAGTAATATTCATAGTATGGATATACCATAAATTTATAGTCATTAACTTAACTTCCCCACTACACGCAGGAATAACCATACATAAATATAGCTATAGATAAATATAGATATAGACATAAATATATATATATCTAGTATCAATATATGGGTATATTCAGTGTATCTGTAGTATAGATTGCAGAAAGTAGGCCTACTGCATTAAAATGTATTCATATTTTAATTTTAAAAGATATCAGGTTAATTACCACAAATGTTGTAACAAGTCATACTTCAAACAGCTATGTACAAGAGTTTCTGTTTCCATAACCCCTAAATAGCTCTGGATGGTATAAGACTTTCAAATCTTCAACAGCCTGGTAGATTAAAAAAAACTTAGTTTTTGAAGGACATTTCTCTGATTGCTAGTGATTGAAAACTTTTTAATATATTTATTGGCTATTTGCATTTCCATTGCAAATTGCTCATTTGTATTCTTTGCCCATTTTTCTCTTGGGTGGTTTACCTTATTAAAATTTTAGGACATTTTGTTTGTTATGTATAATAACCCTTTGTCTGTTTTTTTTGAAGCAAATATTTTCTCCCTGGCTCTTGTTTCTTTTAACTGAATATCATTACTCTTGTAAAAGTAAATGTTAAATTTTGATGGGCTCAAATATTGTTTTTTTAGTGAATTCTGACTTCTTGTCTTATGATCTTTCCCACTAGTAAATGTTAATGTCTTTTTTATTTTTGCTTTTTTCAATACAACTCAATGTAGCCACATTATGAAGATTTTCAAAAACAAAGAAGGTTGGGGGAGGGGAGTTGCAGGCTTATCAATCACCTGTAGCACTTTTGCTTATTCCTTTCCAGGACTTTCTTTTTTCATATAGATATTTTTAAAGCCAATTTTAGTCCTATTTGAAACATCAGTTTTGACTGTAGTCAATGGTATGTTAATACTATATACAATTTCAAAGCCTTTTTGTGTGTCTGTATGATACCAGATTGGCCTCTTAAGAAGCAGAAAACATCAACTAGAGATTTGCAGGTCTTAAAACCAAACTAGTTTTACTTTTTTGTATTTTACTTTAAAAAGGTGCTTGACAAAGATGAAGGCAAAACCTATAGTGAATATAGATATTTCACATTTTACACAGTGATGCAGAACTTGGAAATTTTTTGTTGTTTGTATTACCTCAGCAAGTTCTGCATGTTAGGCTTTGAAGAATCTTAAGCAACTGCGCCATGTCTCATCATTACAGATATGAATCAATTCTTATGAGATTTTAATGTTCAGATCTCTCTAGATGGGGTCTGCCGTCCCTCTGTGGAAAAGTACTCGATGGCTGTAATATCTATAGTGAGATGCTACACTGAGAAAGTAAATAATGGACAGAGCTGTGGTTCCAATATTAGTAAAACATTCTTTCCAGAATAAGATTGATTTGAAGGTTTTAATTTTTCCATTTTATTCACTATCTTTAATCTTTCTCCTTCTAGGTATCTGGTATGGAATTCTTGAAGGAATTGGTATATTGGCTGTGATCACCAATGCCTTTGTAATTGCTATTACATCTGATTACATCCCACGTTTTGTCTATGAATACAAATATGGCCCCTGTGCAAATCATCTTGGAGATGGTGAAAAGTGAGGTTGAAATTTAGACATTTTCCTGATACATTTTGTTTGTAATTAAAATGGGAACTTATTGGGAAGCTTTGTTCTGTGACTATTAAGGGCAATGTTTCTGATCATTGCATTTATAATGTTTGTTGGATGAAATCAAGCGGGATAAAAAGGGTGACAGTGTTTTTTACAGCAAATAATTTTAGAGTCTCTCTCTGTTTTTACTTGTAAATGCATCACTGGTATCAAAATGTTAAAAACATTATAATGTGTGTAGAAGTCAAATTTAGAACTGGAAGTGAACTTAGAAATCATCCAGTACAGTCTTATGACTCTACAGATGGGGACATTGAGGCCCACGCTAGTTAATCAAATTACTGAAAGGAATAAAGCTAGTTTGTAAGGAGAAACAGGATGTGAAGGTACTGTCAGCTATATCACTAGAGATTTTTCAAAAGGAATTTACAGCTAGGTATTTTAAGGTACAGAAAATGTTCCTAGACCTGTTTTCTTCTTCTTGTTAAAATTTAAATCCACATTTTAGAGCAGGGTTTCTCAACCTCTGCACTATTGACATTTTAGACCAAATAATTTTGTATTTGGCGGAGTACGTGTCGTGTGTAGTGTAGGACGTTTAGCAGCATTGCTGGCCTCTATCTGGTAGATACCAATAGCAACCTCCCTACTCCCCAAGTTGTGACAACCAAAATTGTGTCCAGACTTTGTCAAATATCCCCTAGGGGACAAAATCACCCAGTTTAGAACCATGCTTTAGGAGATACGGATTTTTCATATCTTTCCTTCTTGAAAGCAGGTATTAGGGAAGAATGCAAGAAAGCCCTGGACTTGGGGAACAGCGAGAAATTGGAGTTTTAGCTGGAGATTAGCCTTTGGTGTGGAAGTAGTGACAGGAGAAGCTGCATCTCCTGCCCTCGGGAGCAGCTTTGGGCGTGTATCTTATCCCATGCAGGACACATGCCCCGGGTTTAGGATGAAATCAGCCCTTAGCTCTGCCAATGAACTGGTGTTTTCTCGGAACACTGAAACGCTTTTCTGAACACAAACGTCTCAACCTTTCAGACAGTCAAGAAAAGCATGCGATTGATTTTATATTTTGGAGTCTAGTCAGGGGATTTTAACTTGAAGTCCAACACCCTGGGATCTAGTTCTAACTTAGCCTTTTACTAAATGACTAATCATCAATCTGGACCTACGATTAAGAAATGGGGTCTAAGGTAACATTTTATGCACTATTTACAAAACAGTATATATATAAGTAAAGGGGTTTAGTATTCAAAGTGAAAAACCTAAACAGTCCCTTTTTTCTGAATATAAATGATCTAGAAGCAGATTTTAAGGGTTTAAAATACGTAGGCATGTTTGGCAGCCCTCTGCCTTAAAGCATTATTTGCTGGTGTCTCTGCTGCCACCTGGTGGCAGATCATAATAGGATTGGTTGGTACCTGCTCTGTTTACATTTCAGGTCCTGCCTTTCATGCACCTGTCCTCAGCTCCTTATTCAGTGACTAGTGATGTAGAATAATGTCAAGAAGAGATATAGAGGGCTTATGTGAGGTTGAAACAACACATTCATAGGGGCATCCTGTTTAATTTTTTCCAGGTTTGCTTCGCAGCTAAACTGGAGTAGATTCGTACAGATAGGAGAATTTCACAGCAAGGTGGCAAAAGGACGAGATGGCAATGGAAGGGAGGGTATTGGCGAGAGAGCAGTTGAAATGATAAATTGTGAGGTCTGGGATGGATGGGAAGGGAGTGAAGCCGGTGTGTCCCTGCACTGGAGAATCCAGGGTTTAGGTGAGACAGTTGTGGATTTGAATCCAGGTTCTAAGAACGGTTTGTCCTGGGGCAGTGGTTCTCGGTGGTGGTCTGCAGGACTCCTTCAGAGTCCAGGAGGTCAATGCTATTTCCACAATAATACTAAGATATTATTTGCTTTTTTCACCATGTTAACATTTCCACAGATGGTGCAAAAGCAATTGTGGATAAAATTTTCTGGTTTTGCATAACTCAAGGCAGTGGCACCAAAAAGTACTAGTATTGATTGTATTCCTCACTATATAATCACCATTTTTAAAATGCCAGTAAGGAATTTCAGAATGTCCTTGATGAAACAGTAATAATTATTAATTTTATTGAGTCTCCACCCTTGAATGATTGTCTTTTCAATATTCTATTTGATAAAATACAAAATGTGCATAAAGTATTTTACTGTATGCTGAAGTATGATGGTGTTACAAAGAAAAGCACTATGTGCTTGTTGGATTTGCAAAGTAAGCAAACTTTTTTTTATCATGAAATAAGGATTGCCAAACTATGATTATTCAGACTTGGGTGTTTAGCAGACACTCTTTTATTAAAATGCACAAAACTAGCTTGTCATTTTAAGGAAAATAATTGATGGTATTTGTTGCCATTAATAAAGTTCAAGGTTTGAAGTGAAAATTAGAATTTTGGATGACTTTATCTACCACTGTGAGCTTAAAAGTTTCTTAGTACTTACAAATTTCTTTTTCTGATAAAAATCAATGGAGATATTAATGAGTGTGATTTTTCATAGTCTGTAGTAGAAGCGTATCAATATTTGGAAGATCTGCATAATTCAGGGAAAATATCTTCCAAATGACCCATATTTGATGTCACAAAATCATGCATGGGTAAAGATGAATTCGAAGTACAAGATAGACCAACAGATTTTAATGTAAAATCCATATGAAAATTTCATTGATACTTTAAGATTCTCCCACATTGCAACTAAATTTTAAGAAATGACCACATGTACAGCTTTGGTGTAATATCAAAGAAAAATATCAACAATTATCTGAAATGCTATGAAAATAGTCCTCCTTTTCTCAACTACTTATCTGTGTGAGGCCAGATTCTCTACTTACTCTTCAACCAGAACAGCATGTTGCGTCAGGTTTAACGCAGAATCCGTGTGAGAATCTAGCTTTCTCCTGTTAAGACAGGTACCAAAGGGATTTGCAAACAGGTACAACAATGTCATTCTTCTCACTATATTTTTTTCTTTTGGAAAATCTCGATATTTTTCTTAAAAATGAGTTATTTATGTTAACTTATACTGGATTTGGTAGTTATTTTAAATGGATTAATAGATAAATATTTTCTAAATTTCTCAGTTTTAATTTCTAATATGTTATTTTTTTTTTTTTTTTTTTTTGAGGAAGATTAGCCCTGGGCTAACATCTGCTGCCAATCCTCCTCTTTTTTGCTGAGGAAGACTGGCCCTGAGCTAACATCTGTGCCCATCTTCCTCTACTTTATATGTGGGACGCCTACCACAACATGGCTTGCCAAGCGGTGCCATGTCCGCACCCGGGATCCGAACCGGTGAACCCCGGGCCTCCGAAGCAGAATGTGCGAACTTAACTGCTGTGCCACCAGGCTGGCCCTTCTAATATGTTAAATTTTAGTGGATATACCCATACACAAAAACCTCAATAATTTTTAAAAATATACATAGTAACTGGGATCAAAAATTCGGGGAATTTTAGGCCTAAAGAAAGTTATTTAGTCTCTATAAACCTTAGTTCTTTAATCTGTATGATGAAGATAATGATATATATGTTCTAAGGTTATTGTAAAAGTTAACCCTGACCACTGTTTAATACCTAACCATCAGGATAGGAATTTTTATCTGTTTTGCTCATTGTTGAATATCAAGGCATCTAAAATTTTTCTAACAAATCGATAGGTCCTCAAAAAATACATATTGAACAAGTTAATAAATCACAAATAAACAAGTTTATTGATTGGCTCCTTAATTATAATTAATCACATAACATTATATGCATGTACATCTATGGAACATATATTTATAGGGTTTTAATGCATAGGAAGTAATTACCACAATGCCTAGTGTATGGTATACACTTAAATGTAAGGGCGAGGCAGGACTATTGGGGGAAAGTAGAGGACGAGAGCCTGTCTCAGCAAGCTCCAAGGACAGACGTAGTGGACATTAGGGAATAGAATCGGAGAGCTGGGTTGCTAGGAGTTAACTAGCATGAAAGGAATAATGGCCCTTATTAAATCCTGTCATTTGTGACAAAGAAATTGGACTAGAAATTTATGAATCTCTGAATCACTGGTACTTTTCTTTTCTCCCAGCTGTTTGAAGGGCTATGTCAACAACAGCCTATCCTTCTTTGACCTGAGTGAGCTTGGGATGGGGAAATCAGGTTATTGCAGGTACTTCCTTATGAATTATTGTTATCTTTTCTTCTTGCTTCACTCTTCCGTCTCCTCCCTTCAACATGTAAATGAGCCCATTTAACCTGTCATTTTGGAATTTGGGGAAATCAAGAACATTTGGGGCCTCCACACTTTGGTCTCTGCACTTCAAATTCTTTGTTTTCGTGGACTTTAGGTACCGAGACTACAGAGGTCCCCCTTGGAGTTCCAAACCGTATGAGTTCACCTTACAGTACTGGCACATCCTCGCTGCTCGACTGGCGTTCATCATCGTGTTTGAGGTTAGTCACGGGCGAGGAGAATCGCTGTAGGCAACCACTTTTAAACTGACGTGTTAGTTGCCTCTTTGAAGACTTCCAAAGAAGACTTGAGTATATCCCAGTGAAAGGTTCGGGTGTAATGACACAGCTATAAAAAGTGCAAAAAGCAAGAGCTGGAAAATGGAAGAAGGTAGATTAGTGGGTATTTATACCAGAAAACTAGGATGAAAGAAGCTCCTCATAGTTGAACTGAAAACTTAGTTTGAGCCTCCTAGTAACCAAACTTAGAAAGGAAAGGATGGTTATCACCTGATAGAGGAATCCATATCTATTAATCAGGATAGAGAACCTTATTTTCTGAACAATCAACTCTAATTACAGTCAGTCGCGTGTATTTGTACACGAGACATTGCATAATTCAACAAACTATGCCTGAGAACACTGATAAAAAGTGCATAGATTTTGATTATCAGAGTCATGCAATAATATTAGATTAGTTCTGAGAAGAAATTTTAAGAGATGCAACAGTTTTATTTCCTGGCCTAGCATATAACCAGCTTGGTACCATGAAGAACTTACCACGGAATATATTGAGTATCTATTCTCTAAGGTACCACTTAGGATCTATGGAAAAACTTTAAATGCATCTGTTTCCTATGGCCAAAATTACACAGAAACAAAGATTACCATATGTAAGACTTCTGGAAAAAGTCTTTTTTTTTCTTTGAGGAGATTAGCCCTGAGCTAACATCTGCCACCAATCCTCCGCTTTTTGCTGAGGAAGATTGACCCTGAGCTAACATCTGTGCCCATCTTCCTCTACTTTATTTGTGGGACACTTACCACAGCATGGCTTGACAAGCAGTGCGTAGGTCCAGATCCAGGATCCAAACTGGCGAACCCCGTGCCGCCGAAGCAGAGCAGGCAACCTTACCTGCCTTTTGAAAGGCACCTATTCCTCCTAAGTGCTCTCCAAAAAGTGCTTCAAATTTTGTAAGGAAATGTCCTTCATGTGTAAAGTGAAATGCTTTCCTCTAAGGTTTAATCCAGGACTAAATTCTATCACTTAATAACTGTATGGGCCTATAAAAATGTCTTCTGATGACATGTGAGTTTCTGCTTTATTACAGGTGGCATAAGAGTTTAACCTTGTTTCCAATCCAGTGATTCTAAAAAGTCTTTTTTTATTGTGTGTGTGTGTTTTTAATGTACACTATTTTCTTATTCTTCACCTTCTTTTGGAACTCAGATTTACAGACTGAGTTAATCAGATGCCTTAGTTCACAGCATCCTGTCATCGTGGAGCCATCTGATTCCTTCTTTGTTCTTTTCCTCTTAATTTGCATTACTAACTCCATCACCTGTCCACTCCAAATGCACCCACTTTCTTTTCTTCAAGGGGATTTTGCCACTTGTTTATTTAGATATATGTTTGTTTATAAAAATACATATATAGTATTATTTTGAGTGTTTTTTTCAAAATTATTTCAAAGGTATCATGTAATAACTCACTTTTGTCTCTTCTTCATTTTACTTTTTTAGATCTAGAGAGCGATCTATCTGTGAGGTCTATCCATCTTTAGATAATTTCTTTTATCTACTTACGGTATTTCATCAAATTTAAATACCATATTCCCCGATGGATGGATACTTAGGCCTGCAACAATTCTCTCTACCTCAATAAATCTCCTCTTAAGAATTTTGGACATGTTACCTTGTAAACGCATTTAAGAGTTTTTCAGGAATATTATACTCAGGTGTGGAATTGTTAGCATATATGCATACACAGTTTCGTGGCATACTGACAGATTGCTCTCCAAAATTCCCTTAGATTTTCACCAGATTTTCATATCATCTGAATTTCTATTTTCCATTGGATAAGAGTAAGGTAATATTGTACCTTAATTTTTTTTTGTTTTAATCTGTTTGCTAATGACATTGGCCATCATTTTTAGAACTAGAAAGCCATTTTGGTTTCCTTTTCTGTAAATTTATAAACTTGATCCATTTTTAGTTGAATTTCCAGTTTATTGCTGCCAAATTTCAAGATCTCCTTATATATTCTACATACTAGCTAGTTAAAATTCTACATATTCAGTAGTTATAAACATAGATATCTTTCCCATGTCCATGACCTGTTAATTTTCTCTGTAAACAGATAATGTTTAATTTTAATGTAGTCAAGCCCATCATTGTTTTCCTTTTATGGTTTGTGTTTATTTTTTGTAGTTTATTTAGGAAATTTTTCTCAGTATTCAATTCAAAAAGATATTCTACTACATTTTTTACAAAATTTTATAGTCTTACCTATCACATGTCTTTAAGATATCTGGAGTTTTTATAGAGTCTGAAGGTAAAGCTTGTTTTCCTTATTCTCCATAGAGTGAGGTAATTTTTGTATCACTATTTGCTAATTAATCTGTTGTTTATCCACTGAGTTGTGAATCTATTTCAGTAATATTCCCACTTCCTGTGCATGCATGGGTGTATCCCAGCCTCAAGATTCTGATTCATTTCTCCATTTGTTTGTTCCTCGGTCACCGTCACGCTATTTAAATGCTGTGCTTTGTAATATTGTACATCTTCATATCTGATAAAGCAAGCCACTACCTGCTCCTGCCACATTTGCTCTTATTTTTTAAAATTGCCTCAGGGATTTGGAGTTATTAATCATGTAAATTTTAGAAGCCGTTTTCAGGTTTCTGCAAATATCATGCAAGGATTTTGGTTGGAATTACATTTGTAAGAATCAAATTTTGACTTATTTACAAAATATATGCTGTTTCATTAATGAACACGGAATTTATTTAAATCATTCTTGTATCCTCTAATAGAATTTTAAAATATTCTCCTTCTTGTTTGTTCCTTTTTATTTCTAGAAACTTTGTAGATATTTTGTTACTGTTATGAACACTATCTTATCCTCCATTATACATTTTGCTTGATTTTTGCTCATGTGCTGGAACGCTAGTGGTCTTTCTAAGATGAGCTTAATTCCTTGTTTAAGTCTCTTACTGGTTCTAATATTCTGTCAAATTTGTTGGGTTGTCTTTTCAAATGATAATACCAGGTGCAGATAATGGCAGTTTTGTCGCTTCACGTCCAGGGTTTATGCCTCATTTCTTTTGCTTGCCCTTTTGTGTTGCTGGAAATTTATGTGTGGCATCCAGCAGCAGTGCTGTGAGTAACTGTGGCTTCTTTCCAACTTTAGTGGAAATACTTCTGATTTTTTTCCTTTAAGTTTGATGTTTGCTATAGGTTTTTCATTTAAGATAAATTCTATCAGTTTAAGAAAATTGTCATGTGTTACTTGTTATAAAAGTGTTTTGATAAATGGGTATTAAATTTTAGATTTTTAATAAACAGATTTCCTTTTTACTATTGAACTATCCCTGCATCTCTCTCTGTGTGAATCAGTTTATAGGGTCATTTATTACCATTGTTTAGGACTTGGCGCGTATTCTTTACTAATTTAAATTGTAAGAAATGTTTTAAATTTTTATTTCTGTACTCTTGAGACACATTGCTGGACATTTCTATGAGTATCAAATATCTGGTCAGGAAAGGAGCTCCTGATCTGCTTTTCTACAAGAAAATAAGAACTGCTTCATAATAATTAGGAGGTGATATTTCAGTATGCTTATACTGTGCCACGCTCTCCTTTAAGCCCTTCACATATATTTACTCATTTAGTCCTCGTGCCAACCTTTAAGAGATTGTATTGTTGCCACTATTTTAGAGAAGAGACACAGAGAACGTAGGTGAATTGCATAAGGTTACCCAGCGAGTGACTGTCAGAGCAGGGGTCAGACATAGGCAGTCTCATTCAGCATGTGTACTTTTAACCACTGGCATATTCCCTCTTGATTTTTGTTCCTGCTTGTTTTTATACAATACTTTTGTCAGTCTGTTTTTAAGAATGTAATATATTTTTATCATGAAAGAATTATTTAATAGAGATAAAATATTTAAAGCAATTTTAATGATATGTGAATTTAATAGTGCAGAAATTCTGAAAAATATGTGTGCTTGAGGTTGACCCCCAATCCCAGCATCACAGGCAGACTATCTCCTGGGTTATTTATACGCTGTGTATTACAATCTATCAGACGTGGGTTTTCCCTGGATGGGAACTTTCTCATCAGTGTATGACAGTGCCTGTCGTAATAGTACTGTATAATATATGAGGATTTTATAGATGCGAATGGAAGATTCATTCAATGTTTATAAAGTGATATCACCATGTGTCAATGAAAACAGGAAACAATTCTTTGTTTCCTCCTAATAATTATGTGATGGAAGGCAACAGTAAGATTCCCAATATAATTTTTGAAAGTATTAATACTCTAGATGGTACATACTGAGTTCTGATGCTTGACTATAAGGCAAATGCAACATTGTTTATGATTGTTCTGTTTTATAATTAGCATTTCAGAATCTTTGAAAAGCATACTTTCCCCTCTTAAATTTGCAGCACCTTGTTTTTGGGATCAAGTCAATCATCGCATACCTGATTCCAGACGTACCAAAGCACCTGTATGACCGAATACGACGGGAGAAGTACCTTGTCCAAGAAATGATGTATGAGGCTGAACTAGAACACTTGCAACAAGAGCGGAGAAAAAGTGGTCATCCTATTCACCACGAATGGCCTTAGCTGATACCTGGTGCCCACAGGGGCAACACCATTAGTGGGAATGACGGCAACTTCAAATTCTAGGTGGGATCTAGGAGAAAGGTATACCTGGCAAACCATGTGTGTAGTATGCTACTTGGAAATGCCTCACAGTCATCTCTGGGATTAGAATATCCAGGCTTCTAGGGAAGATAAAGATGACTCATGACCCTAAAAAATGGTTAGATTGGCATTGCAGGAAGCCAGGATCAAATCCTCAGAGCCAGCCTCAGGGAATTGTGAGTTAGAGACCTCCACCTTCCATCAGCTGCAGTGTAATAGGAAGGGTGATGGGGAGGTTTCTAGAGACAGATTTCCATGTAAATATTCACAAGCCAAGCATGACTGAATGGATCGTGTGGTTTTCACTCACACGCTAATCTGACTTTGGAACCTTAGGTGGAGTTGAGATACTTACAAGAAATGACTTAAAGCCGTGATTGCCGTTGCTGCCAGAACTCCCCGCCCCGTGAGCTTACAGGTTTATAGGAATTCCCCTTGTTTCTTGCTGAGATTATGGATCTGTGCCACAGAGAATTTATGCTGGTTAACATTGACTATGCAGTTGAAGAGCTGCGCATCACATTCAGTAATCGAACCAAAACTCTAAGATTCTGAAAAGACTACCATTCGTTGAAATAATATTCTTTGCATTGGCTACATTCAATCTGTTTTATCACTTGCAGAAACAGTTGCACTTCCTTTTTTTTTTCTTTTGCTAAATGCCAATAGAGCCACATACTTATAAAATATGGGTATTTATTCTCATATCATTTAGAACACAACTAATTCATATTTTACTGCAGAAGGCTCTTTTATAGTATCTTTTATTTTTCCCTCCCTGATTTATCACAACAGGTCCCACAGGATAACTTAAAATGCTGTAAATATGTTGGTTTTCCTTGTACCTTTGCACCTTGACAATACATAATGCAAGTTACCATTTATGCAGCTCTGAGACGAGTTACACAGCCTGCCATTGTGACTTGTTTATTCAAGACAACAGAAGCCAGATGCTTGCAACACGTGCTTTTCCAAGTGTGTACTCTTGCTCATGAGCTAATGAAAACGATGCATGAATATAAATTTATATTTGTAAAAAAAAATCGTTTTTTGAGTTTCATCTTCTTTTCATTACTGAAGGGGGCTCTCTGTTATTATTTCTTTCACAGGTTGATTTGGCTTATGTTTGAAGACGCTCTAGAAACAAAGTCAAATTAATTGTGAAAGACATCATTTTGCTTTGTTGTGGAATTGCGATTTCAGTGTCAGCTCAGTATCTGTGAGCGTGACTGTTCACAGACTGATGAAATGGGAATGATGGAACTTAAGCTAAAGGAAGTCTGGTGGAGGCATAAGCTATGGGGGCAGCATGGGAATTATTAGAAGAGTTGAATTATGGAAATGTATGGTGGAAATCAAGACACTTTCCTTGCAAAACAATCAAATTAATCTCAGTTTTCCTTTCCTGGGAATCACACATACTCACACATTCATACATATCTATGATTATTATGATTATTTGTCCAATTAATTTTTGTCTGATTAAACAAAGCACAGTTATCTCCAAAATTTATAAAGACCAGATTACACACAGTATAAATAAAACAACTTTGTATCCATGCTGTGGTTTCTCTAGTAGGAAAACTATCAACTTTCTCTTATTATGTTTATAATTCTAACACTGATTTTTTTTTTTTAACTTTTCCTTCTTTCTCTTGAGGGAAAAGCCAATAAGATTATGGTTGTTGGTTGGTTGGTTGGTTTTTGTCAGAAATATTCAGTTCCAGACTTGCCCCTTGATTCTGAGCAAGAGGAAGGACCTCAGACTCTCAACTCCTCTCACCAGTTCTCGCCACATGAGACTCCTCCATTGAACTTCCACAGAGGTTCTCTTTCTGCCATCTGCTTATTCATAGCAACTAATTCCACTAAAGACACAAAAGAGTTTTAAGCTCCTCCATTTTTGTGGTGTCTGCATTTCCTTTTCTTTGTTATTTAAATGTATACACATGCCTGAGAATAAATACGCTCTATGCCTGTTGAAGACATCTGTGAACTTGACATAAAGACTGTATGTCTTTACCAAATTAAAGACACGAGACAAAGGCATTTGTCATACAGTACAGCAAAGAATAATGATAGTCATGACCTTGAAAATTCTTTTCATTCTGAGTTATATTTATATAACCACTCTGTTTAAAATCATATTGATTGCTTAGAAAAATATGAAAAGAGAAAGGTGTTTTCAACAACAAAATTATAACACATTGATTTAGAAAATATTTCTAATATTTTTTGAAACCGATGGAAAAATGGAGAAACAATGAAAAATTATCTGAAAGTTTCCTTTTGTGAAATCATACAGTAGAATATAGCTATGCCTTCATCAATGTTGACGGAAAAATATTGACAGCCTTCACAGATTGTTAGTTTTAGGTCACTCTGCTTTAGATGAGATAAATGTTTTATATCATGGTTTTCATATGAATACAAATTATTTCTCGAAGATTTATATAGCACACACTATTCTCAGGAATTCTGTATTACATGAATGCTGCTTATATATTTTCATATTCTAAAACATTGTCTTTTCAAGGAAATAAGTAATATATATGTGCATGCAGTCTGCCTTGCCAAGTTGTTCAAAGCTGAAGCACTTTCACAGTACAGTGTGTTAAACATTGCTCTGGATCATAGCCAAAATAGTTTGCACTTGTCTGTGAGTCTGTGCACATACTTTTAGATAAAATGTGACTGCATGATGAGATACAACTTCTGAATGCTGCACATTCTTCCAGAATGACTCTCAGAACAATCTATTGTGTAATGGAATGAAAAGAACCTTTTTCACTCAATAAATTATCATGTGATACGGTATTTTTCCTATAATGTGCATGTTAAATTTAATCCTACTTGTTTCTTAAACATTAGGTTGGGATTTGTGGAGTGTGTATGGGGAGAGGGGACTGCCCATTCTTTAGCTCTATAAGGCAATAGTTTCCTATTCTTGTAAGCCCTTAGCCCACTCTTAAAAATTTTGACTTTTTGTCTTCTGATAAACTCATTGTCATCATCAAGTCTTTGCACATGAAAGTGCAGATGGAGTATCATATTGATCCCAGTAATGCTTTGTGCTAACAACAGATGGGAGAGGAAGCTTGATTCATTCTTAGAAGGGTAATAATGCTTCTGTCACACAGAGGATTTTCTTTTTTCACACTCAGGCTGGCTCTACGAACCACCATCAAAATCTTCTTAGGACAGAAACTTAGCACAAATGTGGTTCATGCCAAGTAGGGCATGTGGGGGCACCCTAGACAACTTTCAACAAGAGGTGACCAAATTGCCCATTTTTTCTCCACTTGATAGTCAAAATTGAAAATCCATGTTGCCTGAAGAGTTCCTTGACTGATATGGCTGAATTGATTAGTCTGTCAATTGGGGGCAGGTAGACACAGGCCCAGGATATGGTGCGTGTGTGTGTGTTTGTACACACACACGTTAGGCTTTTTTTTTGCATAAAAACCAGTGAGGACTTATTCTCTGTGAGATATGCCCAGTTCAGTCCTACGATGGTCATCAGGTTATTTCCATTCCATTTTCCCCCAAATCACAAGATTTGTAACAGGCTTTCTGGATAGTTGTAGGTTTCATCCAGGGAATCAGTTAACATCTCCTTTCTAGTATTCTCAGTAGCTCAGAAAAGAACATTTTAGAAATGGCCTAAAAAGCCAGCTCCTGATGGAAAGGTGAGCATTTCCCTGGAATTGTTTCTACTCAAAATCTAATGTGCCCACAGTACAGAGCCTGGATGGAATATTGATTGGGCTCTAGCTTGAATCATTGGTCAGTCTTGATTCCTGCCAGCTAGGATTTATATATTTGTAATGATGAGAAATTACTTCACCTGAACTTGCCATCTGGGTTCATCTGAAAAACCACACCCACAACCACATTTGGTGGTTTTCTTTCTAGAGAACACAAGTGTTATAGCCACTGTGTTCACATCCACACATCGCATTAAGGCATCTTTTTCAGGAAAGAAAAATGAAAGCAGAAAGGTTGGAAGAGAAGAGTCTCCTATTTAGGACCAGATCCAATTTCTTGTACAATCAAAGTCTACTCTCAGGGAGAATAAGCTTCTACATCCAAGCTTACAGCTCTGTGACTGTGCCAGTGTGAGCCCCAGCGCAGTTCTCCCTAGAGAAAGCCTCTTGTTCCGCAGACAGCCGCCCCAGGTGGAAGTCTTGAGCACACCAGTCAGCTCTGTGGATGCTGCTGTACATCTTTCCCCACAAAGGAAGGGGAGAGATTACCAGGCATATACCTATATTGTCTTCCTCAGAAGATTTATTTCTCTCTCAATTCTCACTCCCTCTGTTGGAAAAGCAGTGTCTGCTCTCTGTTTTTCAGAAGGAAAATATTCCTAAATTATTAGTTGAATAACAAAACTTAATGAGATCTAATTAGATATTTCTCACAAAAGTAATTGTCACATGGATGGCTAGCCCCATGTGGTAGTCAAGCTGCCTCAAAAGCTTTAAAATTATTTTGCCAATGTCCATGCCACTCAACACCACCAGGTGAACATGTTAGGCCAAATTTAATATCTTTTCTAACAAGCAGTGTGAAAAGACTTTTCCCACTGGCTTTTACCCAGTATACTTTTGTGATGCTTTTCTCTACGTGAGAAGGAGGTCATTAAATGGCCAGGCAAATCTGATGGCCAAGACAGTGGTAGAAGCAATGTTTTGGGGATGGTGGAAGGGACGTAGGGACTTTCCTAGCAAAGCAGAGACGTCTAAGTTGCAGAATCCTATTTCAGTAGCTGCTGTGCACACACCCTGCCTTCTTTCCAACTGAAAAACAACTGCGATTTAGTCCATCTTTTAACATTCAGAAGAAGTGAAGGATTTTTTTTCTTGTCTTTCTTTATCTATTTTAAGATTTATGAAGCTAAATCTAGTAAGCTTAGTTTTCATTGACAACTCAAGCCGAAAAATAAATGTTTCAATTTTCACTGCTGAAGACAAAAGTGCACTTAAAAATATAAGCAATTTTATCTTCCTCCGATGTGAGCTTTTGGCTTCCATATTATATTTTTCAAAGAGGAAAGAGCAACTAAAGTCCCATAATTAAGGAGACAATTTAGGGAGTGCCAGAAGAAACCCAGTGGATTTCTCCAACCATTTTGTTCTCAATAGGAGAAATTATGTTGCAACCGTATATTTAGCCATATGATTTTAAATATTGATTTTTTCTTTGTACTCCCTAATTTTTGATTTGCAAATCAAAAGAATATACATTATGTATTGTTAATCATTAAACACTCCTTCTAAACTCTCATAAGACATTTTAAAGTGACTTTTAGGAAGCTTTGCTCTGTTGAAATAGATTGAATCAATTTTTAAGGCAGTGTCTTCAGGTCAGCATTCTTGAAAAGAGTCAAGCATAATGGTACAGAAACCTCTATAATGTAGATTCCAAGTCAGTCAATAACATTGCCTGATTGCTCAGTTCTCTCCAAATTCTCCCTGCCTGTGTTATACTGGTACAAATAAGCAATTTAGGGATTGCTCATTTATTTTCTTACATGGCGATTGCATTAGGGTATTAAATGAATACACTACATAAAATTATTCTTAGCTTTTTAAATGTGTCAACGCAGATTTTGTAATTGGAAACTGGATGTTCTGAACACCTGTGTAGAAAATTGCTTTAAAATTTTCAAAAAACAGATGAATTGTTGTTTCTGGAAATTCCTGAGGACAAATGGGTCAAGGTCCATAAAAGTTGTCACCATTATATGTCGCTTTTCTTGATTTATAGCAGCCTATTATATTAAGTCATGAAGTCCTCTAGATGATTACTTCTGTGTGTGTGTGTCCTAAGCCCTTGGATAGCCCAAATATTACAGGAATTATCCAAAACCCAAAACACTGAAAAAGAAGTCATGCTACGTCATACGTCAAGCCTTATTTTGACATGTGTTTGCTAGGTCTCTTGGTAGACCTGCCTTAATCTATTGTTTATATAAAAGATTTTAGGGTAGATAACTATTTTGCATTCCACTCCTAACACTGTAAAGAATATTCACATGGATCATTTGAAATCACTTAAATCTGAACTTACTTTTAAAAGAAATAATTAAAATAATTGTATACCATAATTGTATATCTGTACTTATTCTGTAGGCCTTTTTCCTAAAATTAACTCGTTGTATAAAGACAGCATTAAATTTAGAAGTATTCCAGGGCTCTGTGAAAAAGCTGCATAAAATTTTGGAAATACAAAAATATCATCTTGAATTTCCTAGTGATATACAGAAATACCATTATCAAGTAACGTTTTCAATCATAGGGTAGGATTATTTTTCTACTTTGTCATGGGAGTCTCATGAGAGAGCCACACTGATATCCTGACACCCCAAGTAAGGGCCATGTTGTGATTAAGTAACCAAATATTTATAAGCCTAACTCTGTCTTCTGAAGATGCCTGATATTTCAGACACCAAATATGCAGTTAGAAAAGTGGGCTTGTGAGTTCTCTTAGTCACGTGTTTGTAAATCTAGGTGGATTTGGTCAGCAGTTTGGAATGGAGGAGGAAATAATAGCATTAACTCTTTCCAAGAATTACAAATAAAAGTAACCCATCACGTGATTCACTATCAATTATGAGTTACACTTGATTAATCTAAAATTTTGTAGAATTTTCATATATATCATTGATAATATCATTTGAATTTTAGTTGTTTGAAAATAGATACTTCTGGGTTATAATGCTCGATAAAAGAAGTTAACTCTGCTGTAAACCCTGCTACCTTGCACTATTAAGATTGAACACATGAGATTTGTAAATACGCAAGTGCATATAGAGAGAGCCAAAGTTCTGTAATATTTTTAAATGATTTCTTTCTAAGAGAACAATTAAAGGACAATTCCTCTATTTTTTCTATTTCCTGATCTGGTCTTTGTAATAATGTTTAAGATTGTAATACCATAAAAATATTTCAGTAACATTCTCTTTGCAAGCCCCCTGGTCTGTGGTTTACTTCTTTTTCTCTTTATAACAAAACGATATAACCCCATAAAATGGCAAAATAATGAAATTTAAATCAAGAAACACTGTTTGAACTGAACAAAGGGAAAAGCCCTTCCCTTCTGTTGTTGTTTAGACAATTGCAGTTGATTTCAGCTGTGTGTTGTGTCACAAACTTGGGTTAAGATGCTCTTTGCTTATCAAGGTTTACATGTACAAATGTAATACTTAAATCACAGATACGAATATTGCATTTTTCAGTAATAAACTTGTCTATCTTTTTAACAGTAGTTTTTTTCTTTTTTTCCAAGAATTTAGGACCTTTTGAAAAGTTAAGCTCTGGAAAATCACATTTTATTTAAACTCAGCATTAAAAAGGCTATTGGGCTGGCCTGGTGGCGTAGTGGTTAAGTTCCAGTGCTCTACTTTGGCAGCCCAGGGTTCAAGGGTTTAGATCCCAGGTGCAGACCTGTGCCCTGCTCATCAATCGATGGGTGGTGTCCCACATACAAAAAAGAGGAAGACTGACACAGATGTTAGCTCAGGGACAATCTTCTTCACCAAAAAAGAAAAGGCTACTGTTTGCAAATTTATGGCATGACTTTTAATTTATACCTTATGTTTAGCGTGTTATTTCTAATTCTCAAACTACTTCAGTAATACGTTTATTAAGCCAATACCTTGAAAATCCTAAAGAGAAGCAGTGGAACAATTTAACTTAAAATGAATACTGTAATGGATGCCATTTTCTTCATATATTGCAGACTAACGTATTGAATGTTCCATGAGGGCCAGTCATCATGCTAACTACTTTATATGATTTACCTCTGTAAATTCTCAAACAACCCTGTTAAGTAAGGACAATTTTTGTTCCTTTTAATTTGTGAATAAACTAACATTTAAAAAGCTTTGCCCAAGATAATTTGTGCCAGAACTTACATATGAACCTAAGCTGTTTGACTCCAATCTCTCACCTCAGTCAAGGAGCTATACTTCTTGCTCCAAACAGTGACAAAGAGAATGTCAGTCATCAAAATGAATCCATTCAGGGGGCCGGCCTGGTGGCACAGCGGTTGGGTTCACATGTTCTGCTTTGGTGGCCCGGGGTTCCCTGGTTCAGATCCCGGGTGCAAGCATGGCACTGCTTGGCAAGCCATGCTGTGGTAGGCATCCCACATGTAAAGTGGAGGAAGATGGGCACGGATGTTGGCTCAGGGCCAGCCTTCCTCAGTAAAAAGAGGAGGATTGGCAACAGATGTCAGCTCAGGGCTAATCTTCCTCAAAAGAATAAAATGAATTCATTCAGAATGAGTGAAAGACACATCAAGATCATTCTGCTCCATTTTTTTCAATATTTGTGATTGTGTTCAAAAGATAGAGAGACTGGCATCAAGTTTGGCACATTTAAGGCCTTCCTAGAAGCTCATCATTCATAGCCCCATTTATTGAGAATATTCCTGCTCATTCCATGCAAAAACAGACACAAGTTTAACCCATTTCCATGGCTTGGATTGAACTTGGCCCTGGACAGAACTTATGTTGCACCAACAGCTTTGACAAAACTCAGCTGCCATTCCAAGGGAGGAGTGAGGATACAAGAGGTGCACTGGGACTATGACTACCCGGCGACTCTGTTGACTCTGCACTTCGTAGTTCCCCTCTGCTTCGCTACCCGGCAAACGTGGATTCCCATGTGCTCTGTACCCGAAGCCTTAGATTTTCGCATGTTCAATTATGAAGAAGGGGGTTGGGTGAAATCCTTATATTGACCTCCAAAAGCTCTTGAAATGCTACCTCATAATGCCATAGGTTCCATTACGTGAAAGAAGACAGAGCATTTTTATAATAATAATAGTCTCCTCCTGTTGCAAGTCGTTTTATGCTTTGATAACACTTCAGGCAAGAGAATTAGTGACTAGAAAGGAAAGAGGATCCTAAAAAACTTTCAGGAAAGTGCTGACTTAATGAAATATCTGTAGGATAATTTGTAAGTAAAATTTGCAAGAGAATCTGAGCAAAATGAAAAACTATCTGGTACATTTTGTTTTTGTGCAATTCCAAATGAAAGTTCAAAATCTTGAAATGCATTCCACATCATAAATAAATAGAACATGTATATTAAAATATATGTAAAAATATGAAATATATTTATACGTTATGGCTTCTGTTACTCTAACACATTCTTAGGCTTGTTGTTCTGTTCCTTCCCTATCATAAGAGATTAACTAAGCCAGTGAGATTTGGCCCAAATTTCAACATTCACCTGATAATTTTTTAGGTTCTAATTCATAGGAGTGTCCTAACTACTAAATCATTTGGAAAATAATTGCACCCTCAAACCGCAGAGTCTTAGATCGACAGCTTCATTACCTTGCTGGACCTCAAAAATGTTTCTAGAAATTCTGTTCCTTTTCGTTTTCTGATTTTTTTCCAAACATACCCCTTTTTACTTCTTTCTTCCTTTTTCCAAATGTATTTTTTCTCATCTCTCTCATAAACCATAGCCAGTTCTCTCGTCCTCTTCCTCTGTCCTCCTCTCCTATTTGAGACTGGAGGGCAAGAAGGCATGCCTTGAGCTGGGGCTTAGAAACTCCTTTTGTTTTCAATTCCTCTATTGATTTTTCCACTCCTTCTATCTTCTCTCTCTAATGATAAGTACCGATTCCACAATTTTTTCCATATCTCATGTTTCTTTTAAGGTTTTCTCCTCCTGGGTCACATTTAAACAACATAGCTTTGGGGACTCATCATGCATGCCTATTCGGACATTTCTTCTTACTCTGTTGACATACTGTTTCTAGGCCTCTTGATCTTCCCGGCCACCAGAATAACTATCCGACACCTGCCCTAACATACCTAACACCAGACATTGGTCTGTTCCCCACTATCATTCCTCTGATCTAGCCCCTGTGGCACTGCTCCTTTTTTACCTTGTACGGATTTCATTTCTTTGCTTCTTCCAAAAAGCTTTCACTGCTTTTCCATTGGTTAACTCACCTTTTGATTTGTAGTCCCACCTTACTCCAGAGCTTTAAAAATTATTTTCTAAAGTTCAACTATTAAGATATTTACTTCCGTCACCTCAGCCTGATGGAACATATTGAGCTGGCAGGCATGAGCCGAGAGAGCAGAGGAGAAATCCTGGGGACGCAGTATGTTGCACCAAAGAAGACCCTATGGCTAGTGAAATCTCCTGTGGGCTGGTAAGCTATTTGCAAGGTGCTTTAACACAAAGCTATCTTAGCCTCCTCTAGGACATCCGTTTCTCCTTTAGTCAGCCCTGGAGAAAGACTCCAGACTTCTTCTTGAGCACAGGCCAATCTTCCATCGTAAGGTGATAGAAAGGAAGAAGAAATACCACACTAAGAGCACTGAGGGAGCAGCGTATCTAGTTGTAATCGCTCCCACTAACTGAGACACACCAGTCTCTCCTCCTGTGCTGAGCAAAATTCTTTTCAGGCTTGGTCAGGACAGCTGTAGTAGTAGCAAGGACCTAAAAGTGTGTGCGTGTGGGGAGGGGGTGGTGTTAATAGCAGTTAAGTGTTCCAACTGAAGCTGAGGATGGGGGATGTGAAAAGTGTCTACATGTGTGTGAAGTATGGTGCATGAGTGGGCCTAATTCCCTCATTTTATCAGCAGTGACAGAGAAGCATTTAATGTGCATATCTTCTCCCACCTTCTGCCTGTAACTTCCAAGGTATTTGATGGTTAAAAACCTTCAAAAAAAACAAACAAAAACACCCTGAAGTTTAATATGACACAAAACAAAAAAACTGATTCCTTGGACGGTGATGAAATCCAGTTTTAATCCATTCATGAAGGAAGTTGCTAGGGTACCTAAGGCTTGGCTGTTTTTTCTCATGTGAAAGTTGAGGTCTTCCAAAAAACAGCCTGGGGAACAGTCACTTTATTTGTACTCATAAATACATATAAATAGACATTAGACATCTCTGTCTTCTAGCAGTGGCAACTACACAAGTCTACTAACCAAAAGGCAAGAAGCATGTGGACTGCGCATATGTGTGTGTGTGTGTGTATGTGTGCGCTTGTGTGCGTGTGTTGCCTTAGAAATGGGTAATCTTCTCTAACGCCATGTTGGTGTAGCTTTTGTCCTTGGGATCATAGCCTGGAAGATGGACCAGGCTTTCTTGCTTAAGTCCATTCTGTAAGACCGATTCGTCCCCTTGTTTCCAGGTATTGCCGTTCTCAAGGTTTTCCTGAGGAAAATGGAAAGACACTTATTAGTGAGATAGTCTTGACGTATTCCAAATCAAACTGAGGGGATCTTGCTTAGGCTTCCTCCTTGGAAAAAAATGATATACAGAGTGAAATCAGTACAAATAGCTCTGACCTAAGGTACTTCCTAATTGATAACTTTGATGACTCAATCCATATAGGTATTATTTGTAATGATAATAAAAACAGAAAGAAAAATTTAGTGAACATTTACAATATATCTTGTGTTGTGTGAAGTGTATGTCTCTCTCATTTCTACAGCCACCCTGTGAGGTAGTAGTGTTTCTTCCTAAGGACAGGTTAACCTGTGCTTCAGATGGTGGTGGCCCCTTTTGTCCTGTAAACAGCAAGACCTCTTGATCGGAACAGGGGTACCTGTACTCAGACTCCCCTGGAGGCTGCTCTGCGTTATTCTTTGGCAAACGAGCCCAAGAGTAACATACTAAGTGTTCCCTCCCACTCTCACCTCAGCCTTGGGGACAGAAGCTGCCTGCATCAATAGGATTTATCATTTCTTCCAGGAAATTCTTGCCCAGGAAGATAAGTCTGAGAACCAGTAAATAACTTGATTCTTTCCTTCTAGAACTGTTTCAAAATCCATTTATCCAAATAATATGCTGCCCAACCAGCCACCTTCCCATTCTGAGCCCATCAAGATGGCACTCTCCTTACTGCAACAAGGATTAAACTCAGCTTTACTTCATAGACATGTTATTCTGGCATGGGGGGGGGGTGGGTGGTAGACAAGCATCTGACAACTTAGGTGATGTGACATGGGTGAGGAGCCCTCTACTAGAGAGTGAAATATCTGAGGCTGAAAGAATGACAATAAGCCCTAACTAAAAAAGAAAAAACAGTCTTACATTCCTGCCCTTAATCAGGCTGAGAGGACAGACATGGATAAGACCAGCTGCAAACCTAATGGAAACATTGCTTCTCCTGAGGTCCCACAGTTGTCAAAGCCACAATAAGTGAGGGATTTTCGCTCTCATACCAGTGCTTCCCAGACAGCTTTGTCTTCATTCCGACTGCCCTTAGGCCCCTCTCAGTCCTTCAGTGACAACCCAAAGCTTACAAAATTTGTATCCATCTTCCCTCTTGTCACTGGTAACATTCCCTGGCTCCTCTGGAGTGCCCCCGCCCCCGCCTGCACTGTGCCAAGTTAGTAAGTCCACTTTGGTCTGACTACAGGCTGTTCCCAGAGGTCTCTGGCTGATGTGACCTTACCAGTCCTTGAACAGCATCGCTAGCCCCTCCTGGCCCACTCACAGTCCTCAGGGGGATAAGGAGAGCTGGGGCTTATGTGCACCTGCTGCTCCTCTACCTAAGAAGTTGCCCCAATAAATCTTACTTTCTATTTACTCCCCACAGAGGTAGAGAAGCTTGCTTCCAGGTCACTCTGTATGGTCTCCCCCTAGTTCTCGGATGAAAGCTGAAGTTCAGAGAGGTCAAATAAATTACCCAAGGAAGGTAAGACATGGCCTGGGGATTGAACCCAAGGCTGCCTGACTCTAAGCACACACTTCTCACCTTATTCTAGACAGGGCCCCTATTTCTTTCCTTGTCTAGTATTCATTTTTATATGTTTCCTAGAATTCACACTCACAGGGCCTAAAGGGAACTTTGGAAATTGATGACTTACAATGCCAACAATTCAGCCCAAAGGCACATTTACCTGTTAGCATAGTTACTTGCTTCGAAGCTCATTAGCTGAGGTCATGAAGTTGACACCCATGTTCTTTCAGGTTCTCGCACTCACTGCCTTCCCTCCCTGCACCCACCCTTGCAGATGGTTTAAATGGGCAAGAAGAGAATTCTTTTGGGCCAGGGCATATTTTTCAGAAGCTCACACATCGGCTCACCTGCTCTGTCCCAGTGTCATGCTGAACTCCACACCAGCACAGAGTTTTGTATTTCTTAGACCAAAAACAAAATAGATTGCAAACCGGTCTAATTAGCAGTGGTTGGATATCCTGGCCGCTTTGGTGACCTATAAGCAAAAGGACAGATAGATTAGGTGGTTCCGTGCTTCCAGGACTTCCCTTAAGGATTTCAGCATTGTCAGCTGGAGAAGTAAGTCACTTCTTAACATAAGGGGGAAAACAAGACTGACTGGTTAACAGACAGAAATGCGTAACTGCTCACTGGGTGGAGGGCAGTTGATTTCTAAACATCCACAAACTGTCAGGGCAGTCAAGCTCACAGCTATAGAGTTCAACAGATAGAGAGAACATATTTATTTTTAAATATTGATTATGGAAAGCTCTACTAGTCCCCTTTGTAGGCCAACAGAGGGAATAGCAGGAATTACATAATTTCTTTTTTCAGGAAAGCTCTCAGTTTTCAACTGAATGAGGTATATTAGAGGTCATCAGAGTCAATATTGGTAAAATTAGGAAGATTATTTGTACCGTTTCTTCTTCCTTCCAGTCCAGCATCCCGAACAGGCAATCCCTCATGTTCCCTGCAGCTCCTCCAGACTCTCCTGACCCCTCCTTCCCAATCATTAAGACACACCTGTTCAATGTCCAGCCCTTCAATCCTGCTGTGGAACAAGAGTCTCTGGCCAGCAAAGCCTAAGCTATTATTTGCTGTCTAGCTCTGGACGTAAAAAGTTTGCTGACCTCTGTGTTAGATCTTTGATCCTCTCAGAGAAATTTTCTAGATTGTATCAGATTGCCAGGAATCATGTGTACATATGGACAGTAAATATTTTACGCTTTGCTGGCCAGAGGGTCTTTGTTGCAACTACTCAACTCTACCTTTGCAGAGTGAAATCAGCCATGGGCAATAGTAAATGAATGGGCGTGACTATATTTCTTTAAAACTTTATTTATAAAAACAAGTAGCGGGCCAGATTTGGCTTTAGTTTGCTGACCCTGACCTAAGAGGTAAAGTTAATGAATTGATAACTAATGAATTATATCTGAGACCTGCAGCCCTATGATAGATGAGGTAAACAAATGGCAAGATTCAGATGAGTCAAACTGCTGCACGTGGGAAAACAGGACAGCATGGATCTATGCACAGTGGCCTCGTAGTGTGATGTTCTGGCCACTGCATAAACCAACAAGGGTATTAGTTCTTGATTTGGGAAGTGGTATTTTCATTTCACATGGTTAAAGGAATGGAAGGAAATAACTTTTAGCTGCCCCGTAGAGTTTTACCAGTAGTAACGAAGACTTTAAAGCATATCTTGGGTCAAATCAACTTCCAGCAGCTGATGCAGAGAATGACTCATAATATAAACTATTTGAAGGTGTTAATTAACAGAGATGTAACCATATTTATCAATATGTATGAGTAACCTAAATAGCGTATCTTTGAACTGCTAAATTATCCAGAAGAGGCAGAATTGAAATCATCACCCATTAAGATCAAGCAAGACAAATAGCAAGACCGAGATAAAATAGGACACAAAATGAGCAGGCCCACAAAACGTCTCTGGTCTTCCCTGTTGACCCTCTCCTACAAACATTTAGACATTTTTAAGACATTTTCAAAGTGACCAGACCAAAACGTGTCAAGTTAGCACTAGGGCCTCATTCGGAAGATAGGTGCCATGGAGGCAAGAGTCTCCAGAGGCAAGGATCAATACTCTTTCCAAAGATTTGGTGGAGTGGCACAATTAGACTCTGACAAAGTGCTCCCTTTTCGTCTTAAGGATATTTCACTATGACTTTTTCTACATTTGTAGAAAAGGAAAATGTAGGGATTAACACCAGGACAGTTATTCATGCTCAAGATGGCAAAAAATTTTCAATTTGTGCAATCAACACAAGAACATGTCAATTCTGACATGCATCTGGAAAATATCTAGACTGACAAGCCACAGGATTTAGTAATTTAGAAATTACTAAATTTTAGGATTTCCTACTTTGGAACCAGGTGGCTAAAACTTTGGCTGTCTTCTAAAGGTGATGGGCCACTTGACTGATAAGCACAGGTGTATCCCACCAGCATCAAGGAAGCCCCCACAGTTGTTGGGGCAGACTCTAAACACAATGTACAGACAACCCTTCATCTGAATCCATTTATATAAAGAAAAATACTTGGGAAGTTGTAACTAAATGAGTGGCTGGGGTTACAAAATTCGTTCTATTCCTTTTCACACTCAAGATTGGCTTAAATTTATGTGAATAGCTGGTGATGTCATGCCCAGAGTACTAGGGCATGGGAGCTTACACATAGCATTTCCAGTCACCAGAAATGTTGCCATCCAGATTATATGAGTAGAAATCTTGACTTCCCATTGCCGATGGGGCTTATGGGTATGTAATGGTAGTGGAAAAGTGGAATATCTTAATATTTTATTCAGCTAAAATATATGCTCCAAGGAGGCAAAGTTGCAAGATTACAGTGGGTCTGTTCTACCCCATCCTCCCCCACCAACCCCTCATGGGCTTTGGCATAAAAAGGACATTGAACCAACAGAGGGACTATGACTCAAAGTACAGATAGTAAACAGCGGTACCAAAAATGGCTGACAGTGAAGGTGCTCACTGTAGAGAGCTCCATGACCCTGGAGGTTTGGCCTCCAAAGGACAACATTTGCAAGAGGAAGCGTAAGACTCTCCTCGGCTGATCCATTAGGTTCATAAAGGCTAGCCTCTGAGAGAGCAAGGTGGTTATGGGGAAAACTCCACTCTCTTACTGAGATGAAGGGGGAAAAAACCACTCCTGATATTTAAACTTCCTTACTGATGGTTATGGCACAAAAGATTTTTCATACTCAGGCCTCTGGGGACCATGTGTCAAAATATCTCTTTTTCTCATAATATATGGGGTATATTTAAAAATGTGTCTCATATATATTATTAATCATACATAGAATAATCAGGGGGATGCTTTTGCATAACAATTCGGAGAGAGTAGATATCTCTCTCTGGGAAGAAGAGCTTTTTGTGGTGGACCCAAAATCACACCCGTAAGACAGCCCCCTACTCCAGCAATACATGGGACTAGCCCATGTCTTCCTTGGCCCCAAAGAGAGGAATCCACGTGAGCAACCTGTTAGGAAGCTGATGATGATTCCAGCAGCAATGCATCCCAGGCAGCCCACTGCACTGTAGTAGAGGTAGGAGAGCGAATACCAGGTCTCAGCGATTGCAGGTCTGTGAACGACAACAGCACATGTCACCAGTTTTGAGAGTTCTGAAGTTGTGATCCACAGTGACTTAAAGACTGCTGAGGGCTCATTTTATGTCCTGGAATCTCTCAAAAACTTAAAGTTTAACTTTTGCTATTTGACTATTTTTTAAACACTCAACTGTAGACTGGTTGTGCTTTGTAGTCCACTCAATCCTCTTCATCACTGAAACACAAACATTGCTACTGAAGTACGATTGCAGTGAGGACCATGGCTTCCATTTCTTTGGTGTTATTTATTCTTCAGATAGTTATTAAGCCCATATTTGGTGCCAGAAATTGTGATAGACACTGCAGATTAAAAGACGGTAAGCCACCAAAGTCTAGATGTGGAGTCAACAATCATAAAATGGAGTGGTGATGCCTTAGTGGGACAGGAGCAAGGGATTCTGGGAGCATTCAGAAAGAGTACCAAACCCAGGCAGATGTGGGAGATGGTACCTCAGCTCATTCTTGAAGAACAGTTAGTAGTTAAGTAAAGAAGACAGTCAGGACCCTGATTTAGCATCCTAAAAAGAGGACAGAATAAAAATGGGCAGGGAGGAAGAAACAACATGGTGGGCCTGAGAACTATAAATAAGTTGATAGTGTTTGTCCGTAAGACTTCTGGAAGGGAATGACTCTAAACTAAATGAAACTCAGAGGCAAATGGAAGGAAGATAGTGGAGTGCTCATACACTATGTAGAAAGGACCACCTATTCGGGACCACAGCCCTATGCCGTGTTCTACCTACTCCGTCGCCCAGTGCAGCCCACAGTAGGTTCTCCACCTGCCATGCAAAGTCAAGGAGCTAACTAGCAAAGGAGTGCTCTGATTGTCTCTTTAAGAAAAGGAGGCACTGATAACTCTTCAGTTTCTGGGCAGCTTCAAACTGTTTGAATCTGGAGTGATGCAAATGGAGTCTACACGCAGATCTCCTGGGAGAGCCGTTAGAGTTTATCTCCTTTCTTAGTGGAGTGATGCTTTTGTTGCAATGTCAGTAATGTCCTATAAAGACACTGCTGATACTTAGCAAACAAGTTTGCTTAACTTTACATCATAGGGAAAACTGCCCACTTACAATAGGCAGGTGGCAAAAGATGTGACACAGATGATTACATTCTCTCAGGGCCAGCAACCTCCTATCAATGTGAGTGCTTTGATTTTACTTTTTAAATAGATGTCCTGGGAAGATGACTTACCTGCCATTTGAAAACATCCCCTCTTATTTAATGCTATGTGGGAATGCAAACGAAACTGTGCTAGAGGTTCCCTTTCTTAAGCTAACTGTACCCGCTACACTCAAGCACCTCTGCCCTGGGCTCAGAGTCACTATTTCAGGACTACGTGACATCCTAGTAATGAGAGGTCCTTTCTGCTTGCAAAGATGGGCTATGAGATGGGGGGTAAAGATGAGTCCTGCTTTCTAGGGAGGAAAAGAGAATGGAAGAAACTTGAATGTATTGACTGTTTCCTTCATGCAATTTTTCCTCATTTAATGAATGAAACACATTACGTGACCTCAAGGAGTTTATTGTCTAATGCAAAAGCGGGACAAAAGTGGAGGAGGGCAGAGCAAAGAACAACATAGTACACGGGGTGAAGACCACGACCAGGTCCAGAACATAGGACCCAGAGGAAATGGGCCAAGAACATGAAAGTGTTGATGAGAATCAGAAAAGTGCTGCCCAAAATTGAGATACTTTTCCACAAATCCTACATTTCTTAGATTTGTCCCTACACACAATTAGAGAATGCGCATTTATTAAAGCCAGGTACAGAGCTACTGGCTATAGATGTCTACGCGTTTAATCCTCTCAAACACCCACTGAAGTATACACTATCACCTTCATTTTTCAGTCATGGACTCAGAGAATTCAAGAAATGACAAGTTAGTAACTGGGGTAAAGATACAGAGTGTATAAATGGGAAAAGCGAAATCCAAACCCAGTGCTTCTGATTTCAAAGGCCGTGGTCTTCTCCCCACACCATATCATCTCCTGTATTTTGGTATCTTAAATTACTTATCCCAGCCAGAAATAGAAAGGAAAACCCTTCGTTAAAGCCTGGATAGTTTGATTTAGAAGCTGTAAGTTCACAGCACGCTTCTAACTCAATATGTCCAGTTTTTCTCCTCATTTCGTTGTTCATAAACCTCTTCTACTCAGATCCTTTATTTTTTTTGAGGACACTGTTCCTCATGCCCATCCACCTATTTTCAGATCCTCCACTATTTTTTCTGTTTTGTGCTCATACCGCCAATTACCCTCTGCCACGTTCCCTCCTGTCCACAGGAATGTAGAGGCATGGACAGCTGCAGAAAGCTGGGCCCTGGGGGCTCTCTTCTATGGTTGGCACGGCCCAGAGCGTT